ATTGAACCTGCGTCCCGATTCCAAACTACACCTTAATTCTAAGCAGGTTTTCAGTCTGTAGTATGATTACACTGGGAAAGTATGCACACTAATGTCAGTATGAACACAGATTGAGGTTGTAATTACCCCCAGAGTGCTGTTTTCTTCCTCAGTCACTGTATTTTGATCATTTTGGTGAATTATATTTAAAGTTATGAATAAATCTGTTGTGATTTCAGGGAGAAACCTTCCAGTGAACAGGCTCTTTGTAAAATGACTCAATCAGAAGGACCTTGTTGTGCCTGGTGGAGCTGGAGGAGCACAGATAGTGAGAAACATCTAAGGGTTTTCTATAGAAGTCCTCATAAAGGGTAACGACAATCTCTTTAACAGTCATACATACTGTTGATTGATTATCTTCCTGGTGATGTTGTTGGCCCACTGCAAGAAGGGAAACCACACTTTGTCTTCACAAACAGGTCTTTTTTCCTCTTTCGTTGCTGTGACGTTGTAATAAACAGTTCATTGTATGTTATCGCAGCCCTTGTCTTAAAATAAATTGAATTAACTTTGAATGAAGTCTCAAGAATCACTGAGGTTTCCCTCATTTACAATGATGTTGAGAAACAGAGAAATTTAAACAAATAATAATAATTTAAAGGAGGAGAGTCCTCCGTGCACATCCCATGATGCCAGTTTGTGATGTTTCCAGTCAGGATTAACAAAAACTTGGCACAAGAATTTAGCTTTCTTAACTTTCCTTAAGAAAAACAGATTCTGTGCAGTGATGACTGTGACAATAGACAACTAGTATTGTGGTAGGAATAACAAGTCAATGTAAGAGTGACAGTTTTCTAAACAGTGACGTCCGTGTGTCCGTCAGTGTTTGTTGAGGCTGTTATTTGGACCGTTGCCCCCGGCTACTGCTTGTGACCTCATCCAACCCCATTTCCTGGGTCAGAGAGCGCCTCCAACTCCCACAATCCAACATTCCACAGGCAGGTTTCCAGGTCGCCGGGCAACCAAACGATAAGTGTTTGTGAGTGAGACTGGCTCACTGAGGTTCTCACCGGTGGACGGATGAAGATGGAAAATCTAAATCTTTCCTCAGTTGAAATATGAATTTTAGAACTAAACTTTTCATCTCCAAACAATCTTTAACTTGAAGCGCTGACACGCCACACGTTACAACACCACAGGAAATCCCTTCATTTAGAGTTTCCTCACATCAAAATCAGGACGATGCAACAGCCGCTCGCCACGAAGACCTGAACCCTGAACATGAATCTTTAAAGAAATAGTTTTGACATTTTGAGAAACTTTTACATTTCTGTTTTTGTACAGATAAAAAAAACCCAACATGATCATCTGTGGAGGTTTGGACCGAGCCAGGCTAGCTGTTTCCCCCTGCTTCTAGTCTTTATGCTAAGCTATGCTAATTGCCTCCAGCGTCTTGCTTAAAACAGATAATAATAATAAAAAACAACCGATCTTCTCATTGAATTCTCAGAAAGCCAAGAGACCTTTGATAGAGAAGACCTTTCTATAGTTACAGTAAGAGTGGAGCCAACCAGTGCCGTGGTGTATGAAACACTCTGCAGTATCTGGGTCATTCTGTCTAATCGATGTTAACTCGAGGTAATTTTCACATTTAATGAATTTAATGCAGATGTGGTTTGGTTTCCAGATAATAATTGAGTATGATGGAGCAGCTCTGCGAGGAGATGAAATGGTTTTCGGGGGAACGGGGGACGTGGTCACGGCGGTTGGAGCTGCAGTGGAAAATAAAAGGACGGGGATACAAGTGCGGCGGCTGCAGCGCGGTGAGTTTTATTTGATGGACAGTAATGGGCAGAGCTCGTCGTTTGGAAACGTCCTCCCAATTCTGGTAATGATGCATGAGATGGCGAGAGCATTGCTGGTGATTAGAGTGAATAATAAAAGCAGTTGAAAGGAAGAAATGACCTTTTGAAAGGGTTGGTGATGGGATGGATCCAATTTAGTGAGGAACCGGCGCCATGAAACGAAGAGGATTGTTCCATCGTGACGGACAGTGACGGAAATAACTGACATCTGCTTGTACATGACGGCTGGTAGCACACAGAACTAATTTGTTTTTTTTTTGAAAGCTGACATTGGTGGTTAAGAAACTAATTCGACTGTAGCAGTAAAATAAAGGGAACGTATGAATGATAAGCTTCAGGTAATGGATGTAAAGTGGAGAAATTCTCACTCCCAACGTCATTTTACAACCACCCACCCCGACACCTCCGTGTGTGGACTTACGCTGGATCGTGACCCAGACGTGGGTCACAGAAGACTTTAAAACACAGTCTGCTACAGTCACAGTAACTCATTATCATCATTAGGTCTCATTTATAAAGTCTTGGGTCAAGAACACATTCTGCACAACACTGTTCGAGACAATATGACAGGACGCAGAAACAGCAGTAAAATGGTCGGCAACGTTCATTTATGCACATATTCGCTCTTCTCACTGTGAGTGAGAAAACATTTTTGGGACATGCTGCCCTGGAGGGATAGAGGGATACCTACAGAGATTGGGTTACAGGCCATGTAATCTGTGGACAGGAGACGTTTGTTCTCTGACTTTAATCCTTAAAGTACCTTCGTAAACAGAACTAAACACGGGCCGCAGCGCTGCCTTAAGGACAAACTCAGGGTATAAATGTTAGCGTCACAAGTATTGTAACCTCTACAATGAGCTCTTTTTCTGTTTGATAGAGAAACAAAGGTAAACAGGGAGTGTGTGGGGGGGGGCTTTCACCTGGGAACCATTAACCTGACAGCTGTGTTTCCATGGGGGGGGGGGCTTTCGTGGGGGTGTGCGATGCAGTCATGTGTCCCCAATAAATGTGTTTCCCGTCTCAGCCAGATGTTCAGGTTCTCACTGATGGTTTAAACAGCTGTGAGTGAAATATGCATCGCTAATGTAACACAGGAACCTGCAGCCTGTGTGTGTGTGTGTGTGTGTGTGTGTGTGTGACTGAAAAATAACTATATTGAGAGCACTGAGGACAAACACACTGTTTATTAACTTTATTAACGGTAGTAATTACATTTAGTTAATTTACATTTATAATTACAGCAATAAATGTATTTGTGAATCTTTATTAATATTTCAACCTGTTGTTTGTTGTAGCGACTTTTATAGCAACTGATTATCATTTAAATAATTTATCAGGAAGAATATGTTTTTATAAACGTTTCTCCTTTTAATATTTAAACAGTCAAAGTAATTTGAAGACGTCACCTCTGGCTTTATGAAATCTTGATGTTTGTACGACACCTGAACATCACCTGTAGTAGCTGTACACACACACACACTCAGATGAAGAGGGAGTGAGACATATAATAATGTCCTACACATATTAGACTTATCGCCTATATTCCAGTAAGAATATATTCTTATATAATGTTTTAAGTGGAGCTCAAAGAAGGAAATATTATATTGAATATAAATCATCCTACATGTTACAAGGAATCTTTAATTTATTCATTTAGAAATTAAAAAAATAGAAATGAATGATTATGGACACATTTTAGACTAAAGCTTAAGTTCAATGAAAAAATAAAAACAACTTATTGATTTCTAATCGTGCCTTCAGATATTTCACGATAATGTTTTTGTGTTCAAATATCTTCATCTGGAGTAAATATTGATATTTGTGATTGTGATTAATTCGGCATACATGAATCTGACACCTTTAAAAACAAAGTGAATCAACTGAATTTAAAATAATCGATACTGCACCTGAAAACCTTAAAAACTACAAAAACACGAATACATTAATCAAAGAATTTAAAAATGGAGACGTTATATTATACTACTGGCTGTGGTATCTTGTAACTATGAAGGTTATAATCTGTATCTAATAATTATCAGAGAGTGAAGTCATAAAGTGATGTGATGGATACAAACATCACACTGCAGTTGCATTATGGGAAACCGCAGTGAACTCCTACATAATGAGACACACCTGTGAGACCTTCACCTCGCTTTCACACCCTCACAGATCGTTTGACTGGAAGAAGCAGAAGAATTTATCACGTCATAAATCCATGTTTCTGAAATTCTCCAGACGAGACGGAGAGCCAGTTGGCCGACGGTGGACATGTTTGAAAACAGGAAGCAGGTTGAGATGGAGATGCAGCTGGAGTCAAACGCTTTGATTCAGTCCCACTCGGTCGCTGCTGCACCACACGCAAAAGACAACACACACACACACACACACACACACACACACACACACCGTCAGGACTGTCAGTGTGAGAGGATTTACACTCGGCTTGTTTTCCAGAGCGGTACAGCTCAACATCTGGACTTAAAGGCACTAAATATCAGCCCCGGACTGATTGACAGATCCTTTAATACAGCGGTTCCCAACATGGGGGCCACCGGAGAAATGTCAGGGGCCGTGAGAGGATTAGCTTTATGGTGTAAGAAAACAGAAAGTAAGAATGGGTATGTTTTCATTAGTGAAAGTAAGAGTCACTGTGTTTGTTCCTTCCATGGAGTCCGCCATGTTTACAGTAACCCAGAAGGGACAAACTCTGGCTCTAGTCGGGTGTTTGCATGTTTCTGGGGCCACGGTTATTTCTCCTACACACCTGGAAGGAGAGAGTGAAGCGAGGGAGTTGCAATGTGCAGTTACACAGTTATATATACAGTTACAGTAGATAGGCCAGATTAGTGAGACATTTTAGAAATAAAGTGTTTAGTTTCCTCTGTTGGACTGTTTCCTTCACACAGGTTGATTAAGGTTGTCAAGTGTGTGTGTGTGTGTGTGTGTGTGTGTGTGTGTGTGTGTGTGTGTGTGTGTGTGTGTGTGTGTGTGTGTGTGTGTGTGTGTGTGTGTGTGTTAGGTGTGTGTGTGGGTGGGTGTGTGTGTGTGTGTGTGTGTGTGTGTGTGTGTGTGTGTGTGTGTGTGTGTGTGTGTGTGTGTGTGTGTGTGTTTGTCTTTATCACATGGTGGGGCCCGCGGCCAGACAGCACAGTCACAGTGTGGGGTCCAAAATTTTCGTGGGGACCCAAACCCTGGACCCCACGAAAATTACTTCAAATTCAGTGAAAAGAGGGTCAAAATAATGCCCTGTGAAATTTTCAGAGTTTTTCCCACAATGCACTTTTACCAACTTAGTGTGCTAAAGTGTGCTAAGACGATCTCACTCAGTACCGGCCCCTGATGGCAGAGGGTGGTACTACCTCTACACACACTTTACACACACTTGGCTTAAATGCGCATGTGCAAGCAGCTGACTTCAACGGAGGCTAACTCTTTGATTAGCTAGCTGTTAATACAAAGGTAATTTAAAGGTAATTGAATTAATTAACTGTAAAGACGGGGCTCAATACTATCAGCAATGAATAATTGTTGAACATATATATATTAAATGCACTATGTCCATAATATTCACACATAAGATCCTAAACTTTTGAAGGGTTGCCAGTAAATACATTAATTAGCAACATTTTATGTTTGTATGTGTAGCACGGAGATGCTAACGCTAAGCTAAAAATATAGCCATGCTTATGCTAACCTCACTGATTAGCTGCTATGATAAACTAAGACAAGATAAACTAGTGATCACACATATTAAAAATGAAACTGAGTTAAAAGTTATCTTGTTAACCTATATCAATAAATACAAATTGATCATCTATTTCTGAATAAATAGCCTCGTTTGTATTAAAAGACAGCTTGGGTTCACTTGATACAAGTACAGTGACATGCCTGGTGGGCGGACATTGGAGTCTTAGGCAATGATCGCATGACCACCCTTACAGGACGTGCTCACTAGACAAAACAAGCGCTCCCTTACTCAACACACGACGGAGCTACGGAGAGAGGAGCACTGGACTTGTGTGTTGTTTGATGTCTGCACATGGAAATGAGAGCCTTAATAAAACGGTAAGTTATGCCTACATTTATCAAGATTTCTTTTTGAGCAGATTTTATATGGTTTAAGTGTTTTTTAAACACACTAAATGTTAGCATGTGGTTAAAATCAGAGAAGAGTTTTTTTAATTGATAAAAAGGACACATTCACCTGAACATGAACCAGGTAACTTTGTTAAATTTAACATGAAATCAAATGTGAATTATTACAATGCTTTTGCACATTATAAAGTTTTAAAGCAACAGGCTTTGTGTATTGCTTCTCTTACTACCGTGGGATGTTATGCTAGGTTACTAATTAAGCTAGTGTTAGCTAATTGGCTCTGGTAGCTGTAGCAGCAACGTGCCCCACCTGAGTTTGATCAGTAATTGAATCAATAAACCACATTACAGTGTGATGAATGTGACACAGTTTCAAGTTTAGCGTGCCAACTATCCCCAGTAAAAAAGCCCAGCATTGGGTGATTGAGTGTTAAGTTCAAGCTGAAAGTCTGATTCTGACCAGGAAGGACATTTAATGACACATGGCAATTTAATGTTAAATAGGGTTATTTTTTCTGAAGGATCTGTAAATTTTCTTGGGCTGAAACTGAGATAAGCCACTTATTATTGCTGAAATGTACTCTCAATGTTTCGATGTAGTTGCCTACCATATAAATATTTTTAATACAGTGTATGCTTGAGTGGAGTATCTGGTTACATTAAAACGCCACTATATGTAATTATAGGATCATCAATGGCTGCAGTGAGACCCAGGAAATCTCCCAAAACGGATGCAGTAGAACATGCTGCCAAGGCCCTGGACAAGACAGCAGAGTTGGAAGTGAAATACATAAACTCTTTTAAAGGTAATAATCTGATATAATTTGGTTTTGATATTATGGGTGTTTTATGTAGTCCTCTTGATAAGACTGAGGGATTTATTGAATAAAAAGGATAATTGCATAAAATAAGGCGGTGAATTTTGTTCATCTTAGCCTAGTTTTGTTGTGATGGCCTGACTGAATATTTTCAATATTGCCACTATTTTGGGCCAGTTATATTGGTTATACAATACTTTGACCAACATAGTGTGCCATAAGGATGCTAAAACCAAATTACGAATTATTATTTTGTACTAATAATAATTTAAACCTGTTTGAACATATATTAGTGTCATTTTGATATTTGTTACTTGATTTTATTAATGATACCCTGTCCATTGCGCTAACTTCTAGGGTGAGAACCAGTGTGGTATCTGTATTTGTGCACTAGGTCGAGGGGTGTTTGCCAAGGCACATTTCCATAAAGGAGACTTTGTGGTGGAGTACAGAGGAGAACTGATAAATTCAGAAGAATCTCAACGGAGGAGGAGGACATATCATGTTAGATGTACGGTCTTCATGTTTGACTTCCACTGGCAAGAAAGAACATGGTGGTAAGGCTTACATGAATTTTACATTTCTGAACAGTTAAGCAGCGAATGTGTGATATTAATTCATCAGTCACTTCAGATAATCTGAAGTACTTTTTCAAAATACTGATGGATTATTGACAAGCCTAATCACGGATTTGTCTTTTCTGAAGTATTGATGCAGGTCGAGAAGATGGCAGTCTGGGAAGACTTGTCAATGATGACCACAACCATCCAAACTGCAAGATGAAGAAGGTCATATCAGAAGGCAAACCACACCTGTGTCTCTTTGCTCTGCGGGACATTAATGTTGGAGAAGAAATAACCTATGACTATGGAGGAACTGACTGGCCTTGGAGGAGAAAGGTTTATTATAATTAAGTTCTTGAATGCCAAATAATTAATCCAATACTGGTGTTTTGCCAATGGTTAATTTAACTTTTGCATTGTTCAGAATAGAATTTCAGTTTTCATGTATGATAACTTGTGTTGACCAGTCATCAAAATGATCTGAATATGGGTGTTGAACTCAATCCTTAGGTTGGAGGACCACTGACTGTCACTGAGTCTTCTGATGCTGACATATCCAGAACCAAAGACCAGGATCCTGAAAGATCTTCTTGCTCCCAGAACCAGGTATTAATATTTGTCCGAATTAGTGTTTTTGTCAATTATTTGTTCATACTTAAGTTTTTAAGCCTCTCCAGTGTCATAAATTAAGTGTTGGCGCATTTCGGCTGAATTTGTAACATCAGTCCCAGTCTGAATTCATACATATCCTGCCAACAAGCACACTTTTCTTTTAGTTTTTTTGTCCTTAAACTTTAAAAATGCCATGTATGGCATGTGTTGTTGAAGCTGAGCTCAGTTTGCTTTCTACCAGTCATACCAGCTGTTGGTTACAGTTCAATATCCTCTTGTCAGCCTTCACCTTTACTTGTTCGGGGCTGTAATGGTTACAGCAGTGCTACAGCTGGCAACATATTTATGACAAATATCAGAGGGAAGTTGAACCTATCAAAAATAACAATTAATTTTAGTCCCATAATACTTCCACACTCATTTCTTGTTGTATTTTGTATATGCTTGTGGTTATTGGTGCTGAATGTAAGTAATTTACTGCTGACCAACTACTCATTAATGATGTTGAACTCATCCTCAGGTTGGAGGACCACTGACTGTCACTGAGTCTTCTGATGCTGACATATCCAGAACCAAAGACCAGGATCCTGACAGATCTTCTTGCTCCCAGAACCAGGTATTAATATTTGTCTGAATTAGTGTTTTTGTCCATTATTTGTTCATACTTAAGTTTTTAAGCCTGTCCAGTTTCATAAATTAAGTGTTGGTGCATTTTGGCTAAATTCGTAACATCAGTCCCAGTCTGAATTCATACATATGCTGCCATCAAGCACACTTTCTGGTTTTTGTGATTTAAAGGGGTCCAATCAGTGTGCTTTGGAAGACCAGTCTGACACACACCTGTCAGGTCTTCTGTTGTTGTGGGGTCCACGGTGACTGAGAGACATTCTACATAATTAACAATAATTCTTTTAGTTTTTTTGTCCTTAAACTTTAAAAATGCCATGTATGGCATGTGTTGTTGAAGCTGAGCTCAGTTTGCTTTCTACCAGTCATACCAGCTGTTGGTTACAGTTCAATATCCTCTTGTCAGCCTTCACCTTTACTTGTTCAGGGCTGTAATGGTTACAGCAGTGCTATAGCTGGCAACATATTTATGACAAATATCAGAGGGAAGTTGAACCTATCAAAAATAACAAAGATTTTTAGTCCTATAATACTTCCACACTCATTTCTTGTTGTATTTTGTATATGCTTATGGTTATTGGTGCTGAATGTAAGTAATTTACTGCTGACCAACTACTCATTAATGATGTTGAACTCAATCCTCAGGTTGGAGGACCACTGACTGTCACTGAGTCTTCTGATGCTGACATATCCAGAACCAAAGACCAGGATCCTGACAGATCTTCTTGCTCCCAGAACCAGGTATTAATATTTGTCTGAATTAGTGTTTTTGTCCATTATTTGTTCATACTTAAGTTTTTAAGCCTGTCCAGTTTCATAAATTAAGTGTTGGTGCATTTTGGCTAAATTCGTAACATCAGTCCCAGTCTGAATTCATACATATGCTGCCATCAAGCACACTTTCTGGTTTTTGTGATTTAAAGGGGTCCAATCAGTGTGCTTTGGAAGACCAGTCTGACACACACCTGTCAGGTCTTCTGTTGTTGTGGGGTCCACGGTGACTGAGAGACATTCTACATAATTAACAATAATTCTTTTAGTTTTTTTGTCCTTAAACTTTAAAAATGCCATGTATGGCATGTGTTGTTGAAGCTGAGCTCAGTTTGCTTTCTACCAGTCATACCAGCTGTTGGTTACAGTTCAATATCCTCTTGTCAGCCTTCACCTTTACTTGTTCAGGGCTGTAATGGTTACAGCAGTGCTACAGCTGGCAACATATTTATGACAAATATCAGAGGGAAGTTGAACCTATCAAAAATAACAAAGATTTTTAGTCCTATAATACTTCCACACTCATTTCTTGTTGTATTTTGTATATGCTTGTGGTTATTGGTGCTGAATGTAAGTAATTTACTGCTGACCAACTACTCATTAATGATGTTGAACTCAATCCTCAGGTTGGAGGACCACTGACTGTCACTGAGTCTTCTGATGCTGACATATCCAGAACCAAAGACCAGGATCCTGACAGATCTTCTTGCTCCCAGAACCAGGTATTAATATTTGTCTGAATTAGTGTTTTTGTCAATTATTTGTTCATACTTAAGTTTTTAAGCCTGTCCAGTTTCATAAATTAAGTGTTGGTGCATTTTGGCTAAATTTGTAACATCAGTCCCAGTCTGAATTCATACATATGCTGCCATCAAGCACACTTTCTGGTTTTTGTGATTTAAAGGGGTCCAATCAGTGTGCTTTGGAAGACCAGTCTGACACACACCTGTCAGGTCTTCTGTTGTTGTGGGGTCCACGGTGACTGAGAGACATTCTACATAATTAACAATAATTCTTTTAGTTTTTTTGTCCTTAAACTTTAAAAATGCCATGTATGGCATGTGTTGTTGAAGCTGAGCTCAGTTTGCTTTCTACCAGTCATACCAGCTGTTGGTTACAGTTCAATATCCTCTTGTCAGCCTTCACCTTTACTTGTTCAGGGCTGTAATGGTTACAGCAGTGCTACAGCTGGCAACATATTTATGACAAATATCAGAGGGAAGTTGAACCTATCAAAAATAACAATTAATTTTAGTCCCATAATACTTCCACACTCATTTCTTGTTGTATTTTGTATATGCTTATGGTTATTGGTGCTGAATGTAAGTAATTTACTGCTGACCAACTACTCATTAATGATGTTGAACTCAATCCTCAGGTTGGAGGACCACTGACTGTCACTGAGTCTTCTGATGCTGACATATCCAGAACCAAAGACCAGGATCCTGACAGATCTTCTTGCTCCCAGAACCAGGTATTAATATTTGTCTGAATTAGTGTTTTTGTCCATTATTTGTTCATACTTAAGTTTTTAAGCCTGTCCAGTTTCATAAATTAAGTGTTGGTGCATTTTGGCTAAATTCGTAACATCAGTCCCAGTCTGAATTCATACATATGCTGCCATCAAGCACACTTTCTGGTTTTTGTGATTTAAAGGGGTCCAATCAGTGTGCTTTGGAAGACCAGTCTGACACACACCTGTCAGGTCTTCTGTTGTTGTGGGGTCCACGGTGACTGAGAGACATTCTACATAATTAACAATAATTCTTTTAGTTTTTTTGTCCTTAAACTTTAAAAATGCCATGTATGGCATGTGTTGTTGAAGCTGAGCTCAGTTTGCTTTCTACCAGTCATACCAGCTGTTGGTTACAGTTCAATATCCTCTTGTCAGCCTTCACCTTTACTTGTTCGGGGCTGTAATGGTTACAGCAGTGCTACAGCTGGCAACATATTTATGACAAATATCAGAGGGAAGTTGAACCTATCAAAAATAACAATTAATTTTAGTCCCATAATACTTCCACACTCATTTCTTGTTGTATTTTGTATATGCTTGTGGTTATTGGTGCTGAATGTAAGTAATTTACTGCTGACCAACTACTCATTAATGATGTTGAACTCATCCTCAGGTTGGAGGACCACTGACTGTCACTGAGTCTTCTGATGCTGACATATCCAGAACCAAAGACCAGGATCCTGAAAGATCTTCTTGCTCCCAGAACCAGGTATTAATATTTGTCTGAATTAGTTTTTTTGTCAATTATTTGTTCATATTTCAGTTTTTAAACCTCTCCAGTGTCATAAATTAAGTGTTGGTGCATTTTAGCTTATTTCTTAACATTAGTCCCAGTCTGAATTCATATATATCCTGCCAACAAACACTTTCTGGTTTATGTGATTTAATTGGGTCCAATCAGTGTGCTTTGGAAGACCAGTTTGACACACACCTGTCAGGTCTTCTGTTGTTGTGGGGTCCACGGTAACTGAGATATATTGTACATAATTAATTATATTTCTTTTAGTTTTTCTGGCCCAAAACTTTAAAAATGCCATGTATGGTATGTGTTATTCAAGCTGAGCTCAGTTTGCTTTCTACCAGTCATACCAGCTGTTGGTTACAGGTCAATATCCTCTTGCCAGCCCTCACCTTTACTTGTTCAGGGCTGTAATGGTTACAGCAGTGCTACAGCTGGCAACATATTTATGACAAATATCAGAGGGAAGTTGAACCTATCAAAAATAACAATTAATTTTAGTCCCATAATACTTCGACACTACCTTCGGGTAGTATTTTGTATATGCTTATTGTATTGTTTCTGAATTTAAGTAATTTACTGCTGACCAACTACTTATTTATGATGTTGACCTCAATCCTCAGGTTGGAGGACCATCAACTGTCACTGAGTCTTCTGAGGATGAGCTCTCCACAACCACAGACCAGGATTCTGAGAGATCTTCTTGCTCCCAGAACCAGGTATTAATATTTCTCTGAATTTCTTGTATGACATATGTTATTGAAGTTGAGCTCTTACTATAATTTTCAAGCATCAAGCATCAAGCATCATTACTTTTAGTTACCATGAAAGCAACTTTCCTTTGTAGCAACAAAGTTCATTCACAAAATGTCATTATTAGGCATAATGCTACAACATTGTTCAGGTTTTAAACACCTCTTACACTGACGTATGTCTGTTATTGTTGTTCTGTACTGTACATGTTCTTTTATTCATTATTGTTTGTATTTTAGTTTACTGTGACCTTTTTTTAACTAATCTATGAAGCCAATGGCATTTTTCCACATTTGTAGATGATGATGATTATGATGATTGTCATTATCATTGTCATTATTTTAATTATTATTAATCCTACTATGTCTGACCTGATCTTCAATATGTCTATTATTTTCTCTCTAGGGGTCAGATGAACTAGGACTCAATCCTCCAAAGAATAAAGTTGGAATGAATCAGTCCTGCATAAACTACATGGATTCTAATGAATCTCATAGATCATCCTCAAGTCCTGCCAATTTTGATAAGAAGTCTGAGGTAAATTGCTATCATTAAAGGTTATTAGCATTTGTCTGTATTGTGATATCAATCGGTTTTTTATATCAATGTCCAAATAAAGATAACATAAATTTGTTTTGGACTCTGCAGACTTGGAATCTGAATTCTGACTCTGAACTCAGCTTGTCTCAACATGACGAAGAGTGTGTCCCAAGGCTGAGAAGGAACAAAAGCATACAGGTAATACACAGGTAACCCACACAATGTAGAGATTTCCATTTCTTTACTGATATATCACAAAATATATTAGTTTGCTGACTTTAATTTAATTCATATTTTCTTTTCTAAAGATGAAGACCCAGATTCATTCCGATTCAGATGAGCTTTTCATCCTCACCTCAGCTGGTAGTGGAGAGGAATATATCCCCAAGACTAGTGAGGATTATTCTGCTGGTACAGACACAAGTAAAGTTCTGGAGCCAGTTGAACAGAAAGAGAGCATGCTCAGGCCCTTAAACTTTAGGACAATGGATGACATCAGACAGAGAGGTGTCTCATTGACAGAACTGAACAATGGTTCTTCAAAGAATGTGGTTGACAGAGGACGCTCACCCTCAAGAAAAGGAAGCAGCTCTGGAATGAGACATAAAAGACGACGTTTAAGCAGTGCACCCTGTCCTACAACACAAACCACTAGTGGTCAGTCCTCAAAACAAAGTGTAAGGGGAGACACTGGAACCCCTTTAGAAAACTCAACACCAGATCTTGAGAAAAATCATGTTCAGGCTCTCTGTGCATTTGCTGCACCTCCACCCCCTGGTGTCAAAGTAGAATTTTGGAAGCTCTTAAGCAACATGGTTCAAGATGAAGCTTATTTCGCAGTCAAATCGGATGTCTGTATCATGGAGTTTGGTGAGCATCTATACAACCGGCTTGGACATGATGTTGGCGAACACGAATACATTCGGCAAAAGTTGAGAGAGCTGGGAAGGCTTCTGGTATGCTCTAGGAAAACCACTCCCTTGAAGACCATTCAAGACCACATCAAACCTGTAAATTTCATGCATGTTGTGGAAGCAGTGAAACGCGTAGCTGGCTATGACAGTGAAACCAATGCATACAAGCGCCCAAGTCTTGCTCTCAAAATTGGAGACAGCTTGACAAAGATTTCGCTTCTTGTTGAAAGACGTGCAAATGTACAGAGTGACTATAGTGCAGCAAAAGATGCTCGTACATTCCGCAGAGTATATGAAACCAGGTGGAATGAACTGTTATCAGCTGCGTCACTGAGAACACTTCAGGAATCTACGTGGAATGCCCCCCTGTTGCTACCATTCACAAAAGATGTCCAGACGCTCCATTCTTATCTAGATGTGCAACAACAACATAGTTACAGCAAGCTGTCCACAGAGACATCTCCCCAGGCGTGGACACAGTTGGCAAAGGTCACTTTGACACAAGTCATCTTGTTCAACCGACAAAGAGCAGGAGAGGTGTCAAAAATGCCCCATTCTGCGTATTTGTCTCAAAATCCAACAGACCCTGACGAAAATGTGAACATAGCCCTCTCAGATCTAGAAAAGAAACTCTGTCAGCACTTCAGGAGGATAGAGCTAAGAGGAAAATGGGGAAGAAAAGTTCCTGTGCTTTTGACCCCAGCAATGCAACAAGCATTGGATCTGCTTGTCAGCAAACGGGAGGAATGTGGGGTTCCTCGGGAGAACATCTACTTATTTGCAAGACCATCTGCTTTTACCTGCTACCGTGGGTCTGATTGTCTTCGACACTTTGCGAAGGTCTGCGGTGCAAAGAGTCCTGAATGTCTCACTTCTACAAAACTGCGCAAACAAACAGGAACTCTTTCTCAAGTTCTCAACTTCAGTAATACAGAGCTGGATCAGTTAGCTGATTTCCTTGGCTGTGACATAATGGTGCATCGACAGTTCTACAGACTTCCTGAGGGCACACTCCAACTTGCTAAAATTAGCAAAGTTCTCATGGCTCTGGATCAGGGACGCCTAGCACAATTCAAGGGCAAGAGTCTGAATGACATCAGCATTGATCCCGATGGTACTAATTATTTATTTTCAGTTGTTCTTGGATTCTTGTATTTGCTTATCTAAAGTGATTGATTGTCAGAATCGAATGAATTGCATTCTATGGTCACTAACAGTCACTCTTCTCCCTCCCACCCCCTGCCCAACTCACAGAAAATGTGTACATGGACAGTGACACTGAGGTGGCATGTGAGTTTGACTCACAAGGTAAGTAGTTTTGTTATGGTATGAAATGTAACACCTATGTAATCCAGGATGTCCTTTTACTGTAGGGTTGTTCCAAGTTTTTTGACTCTTATCCTGTTCCAAGTCTCCAACTCTGATCTGATTCTTATATTTATATGAAGATCTTAGGTCACAAATATTAAGTTGATAGACCTAAGTCACTGATATGATATGAGTGAAAGATTTACAGAGGATTCCTACCATTGATGTGACACAGTCTGAGTTGTAACACTCAGTCCTCTTCCTCAGTCCACTCAGCTGTGTTATAGAGTGCAGGTTTTTTCCTCAAAAGCAATGCCAGTACAATTCAATAACACGGAATTTGTCTAACCTCAGTGTAACAATTCAGCCACTGACCAGTGCAATCAAATTATATTCTCTCTCATATGCAGCAAAATACTTCCACTGTAGAGCCTGGTTGTATGGAGAGAATTTCCGCAACACTAGCGGGCTGAATTGGTCCCAAAACCGGTCCTTAGATTCGGATTGGGACATAATTGATATTTGTAATTTGTTTTCTTCCGGTTTTAGAGACACAGGTAACATTCAGTCAGAGGGAAGAGGACGAGAGCACATCGCCAGATGTGAGCCAGAGCGATGCAAGATCACAGCAGGGCCCAATGACACCTCACCACCAGTCACCAAAAAGGAAAAGAGGTAAAGATTTAAGATCAAATTTCCAAGACCAGCCCTTATTCACACAAGTTGTAGTAGCTTAAAAATTCAGTATTCTCCTTAAGTTTGGGAGTCCCCCTCCCCCACAGAAATTGTGTTTTTCAATACAAAATATGTAGTTTCACATGATTTTTGACCTATATTATTACAGTATTTGTGTAAAAGATTTGGATAAGCTAGAGGTCTCATGATATCATGATCAATAACTTATTGACTTTTGTTCCTCATTTATATTTATTATTTATTTATTTATTTATTTAATAGGAGTACAATCTCGACCTGCTCTATTTGAAAAAACATTTCCATAGAGGAGCACAGAAATATTAATTTGTTGTTTATTCTTTTACAGGTCGCCAGCCTTTCAAGAGAAAGATGTGGGAGAAAGAGGAGATCCTTGCTGTTGAGAAGCACATGATTTCCTTCATTACTTCGTGTCGCCTCCCGGGGAAAAACGACTGTGATAAGTGCCTTCAACAGGAAAAAGTAGCACTCAAAAACAGAAATTGGTTGGCCATAAAGTTCTACATTAAGAATCGAATCACAGCTCTCAAGAAGACATTTTAAAGTGGTCATTTAATGTATGTTTACACCTGTTATGCTTGTTGTGTCACGACATGTAAGTTATTCATTACTTTATCGTTTACTACACAACATTTAGAGCTTGTTACTTCAAGGTGTAGATAGATATAGATATATACTGTTCAGTGTTTCTGTTTTTTATTTTTGATACTAATATGGATACATTTCTCTTACCTAATCTCCTCTTATCTTAAAAGAGCTGTTCTGATCTTATATATTTTAGCCATATCTCATCTAAACTCACCTTGCCTTATCTCCTCTATTCTTATTTAATCAAATTTAATCTTTTGTATTATCATCTCATCTTCTCTCTTCTCATCTCCTATTTTATCTCATCTTTTCTCATCATATCTCATTGTCACAACCCATCTCCACTTGTCTCATGTCCCCCGTCTTATGTCTTGCCATTTCCCCTCTTTTACCTGATCTATCCTCACCTTATGTTACCTCATCTGATCTTCACTCATCTCATCGCAGTTCATTTTATCTTATCTAATCTAATCTCACTGTCATTTCTCATCTAATTCTAACAAATATCCTCTCCTCTCCACTCTTATCACAATTTATCTTTTGTTAATCTCAGTTTATTACATTTGATGTCATCTACTCAGTTTATCTCATAGTTTAGGTTATTACCTATTTTCTTTTATTTCATTTTCTCCAATTTAACTCATGTCTTCTCATTGTATCCCTTATTTTAAAGTTTAAAAAACAGGCAGTTCTGTTAACCTGTAAAGACTGTGTGCAACAGTTTAGTTTGCAGCAGTTTGTACTGGTACAAACACAAGGGCTGTAACTATTAAGTTTATAATAGATTAATCTGAACATAACAATGTTCCAGAGTCCAATGTGACCTCTTTAATTTGCAATATTCTTTGTCAAACCAAAAGCCCAAACCTATATCACAGTGATATAAGGGTGTTAGTGACTATTTGAAACTTTAGGTTGATACTTTTGTGATACGTTACTTACAGAAATGTAAAAGAAAAACATGTTTTGGTTCATTCAAAAGTTTTGAATGTTAAAATTATATTAAAGTCTCTCATTTGGAGCAACTTGTGTTAAATTCAACCAAGGAAATAAAACATATTATATTATACTGCTAATACAGCAGCAGGTGTATAAATAATCTAAGGCACATTAAGTACTTAAATAGAATATTTTGTATTATTCTTTCTATTTTGTTGTTCCATTTTAAACAGTTTTTGTAGTCAGAGATGTTGGCATGTTGACATGTTTGATTCATTATACTTTTATCAGTCTAATGTTATTACTTATAGTCATTGTTGGGACTTGGTGATACATTTAATGCAAACCTAATAGTAGGTTTCATACTGACTGAGCCTGTATTGAGTGGTCTACATTTAACGTTGTTATGTAAAAGAACCTAAATGTTGTCTATTTCCAAACTCCAGTTGATGAATATCATGCTGAATCATACAGCACTCACCTTGACAGTCAATTGTGGGTCCCCAAAGAAGGCTTAACCTGAAACTGTGTAAAATGGTACTCAGGAAGAAGAAAAACCAGACAGTGTGTATATACTGACCTCACGTGTATCTAAAAACCTGACAGGTCCTCAGGAGGCTGGTCTTGGTCAGGTCTAGGACCTCTACTTTGTCTGATTGATTATTTGAAGTCACATCTGTGTTTATGGCCCCTTTGGGATACTGCCTGATTTTTTTCAAAGCTGTACAACCACCAGAAAGGGTGGTTCCCAGAAAGCATGGTCTGGTCTGGTGTCCCTACCATGCGATAAAGACAAGGCTGTGTGTGTGTGTGTGTGTGTGTGTGTGTGTGTGTGTGTGTGTGTGTGTGTGTGTGTGTTAGGTGTGTGTGTGTGTGGGTGGGTGTGTGTGTGGGTGTGTGTGTGTGTGTTAGGTGTGTGTGTGTGTGTGTGTGTGTGTGTGTGTGTGTGTGTGGGTGTGTATGTGTGTGTGTGGGTGTGTGTAGGTGTGTGTGTGTGTGTGTGTAGGTGTGTGTGTAGGTGTGTGTGTGTGTGTGTGTGTGGGTGTGTGTGTAGGTGTGTGTGTGTGTGTGTGTGTGTGTGTGTAGGTGTTTGTGTGTGTGTAGGTGTGTGTGTGTGTGGATGTGTGTAGGTGTGTGTGTGTGTGTGAGGTGTGTGTGTAGGTGTGTGTGTAGGTGTGTGTGTGTGTGTGTGTGTGTGTGTGTTTGTGTGTGTGTCTGTGTGTGTGTGTGTGTGTGTGTGTGTGTGTGTGTGTGTGTGTTGGGCGTGTGTGTGTGGTGTGGTGTGTGTGTGTGTGGGTGTGTGTGTGTGTGTGTGTGTGTGTGTGTGTGTGTGTGTGTGTGTGTGTGTGTGTGTGTGTGTGTGTGTGTGTGTGTGTGTGTGTTAGGTGTGTGTGTGGGTGTGTGTGTGTGGGTGTGTGGGTGTGTGTGTGTGTGGGTGTGTGTGTGGGTGGGTGTGTGTGTGGGTGTGTGTTAGGTGTGTGTGTGTGTGTGGATGTTTGTGTGTGTGTTAGGTGTGTGTGTGTGTGTGTGTGTGTGTGTGTGGGTGTGTATGTGTGTGTGTGTGTGTGTGTGGGTGTGTGTAGGTGTGTGTGTGTGTGTGAGGTGTGTGTGTAGGTGTGTGTGTGTGTGTGTGTGTGTGTGTGTGTGTAGGTGTGTGTGTGTGTGTGTGTGTGTGTGTGTGTGTGTGTGTGTAGGTGTTTGTGTGTGTGTAGGTGTGTGTGTGTGTGTGTGTGTGTGTGTGTGTGTGTGTAGGTGTGTGTGTGTGTGTGTAGGTGTGTGTGTGGGTGTGTGTGTAGGTGTGTGTGTGTGTGTGTGTGTGTGTGTGTGGGTGTGTGTAGGTGTGTGTGTGTGTGTGTGTGTGTGTGTGTGGGTGTGTAGGTGTGTGTGGGTGTGTGTGTGTGTGTGTACCACAGAGATTTGCTGTCCTGCAGATTAAGTTAATATTAGTCATGAGGCTGTTTCCTTTTTCCAGGTTTACACACACATTAAACTTCACTCACATTCAAACCGATGTAAGTTCTGTAGTTTGTGTGTGTGTGTGTGTGTTCAGAAACCTGCAGCTGGTCCAGACACACACACACACACACACACACACACACACACACACACACACACACACACACACACACACACACACACACTGGATGTGTTTCCTGGACAAACAGGTTCTTGGGGTTTGGTTTGGACTTGAATGAACGAGCTCTGTAGTCAAATGTCGTACATGAAGGTAACTTAAAGAGTTATTGTTTGTCATCAGGATGCATCACTGGTCCATTTCCCAACATCAACAACCAGATACACAGAGACAGATACTGACAGAGAGTCTGTGTGTTAGTGACTGTTTGTGTCTCTGCAGTCTGGTGGAGAGTGATAGTGATATTACGGCTGTTTGTGGTTAAACTAAAGGTCTCTCTCTGTAGGGATCCTTTCCATAATGCTGTCAGACACTGACAATAACAACCTGAGTCTGTCAGCAGCTTCTGTCTCATTGTTTTGCTCTGAGATGCCAGCGCTGTAGTGCGACATCCAGTGGCAAGTGGATTCTGTATATCCAACCTTTCAAAATAAAGTGACAGTGTGAATGAAACACACACACACACACACACACACACACACACACACATACACACACAAACAAACACACACAGAACTGTAATGCCAATGTTCCTGTCTTGATTCAAACAAGCGCCTGCACTGTGCTTTAATTTACTTATTTAAGCAGGAAATTCTTTGCTCCCGGTCGGAGAAGTGTGCGTAAATGAATGAAAAATATTTAAAATGTAAATCAGCTTTCTTACTTTGGATATAAAAGAAGTTCTGTGAGCTGAGAGAGAGACTGTAACCTCAGACAAACACTCCCTCTAATGGCAGGAAAAAGTTGGTTTCTCTATTTACACTTTATACTTTAAACGTGTTTTTGATATTCAATAAAAGTAAAGAGTAAGTCATTCACATCGAGTGTCACATGACAGACAGGAGCTGCTCCCTCTGCGCTCGTCTGAAGTGTCAGACCATATTTCAGCTCCGTGAAATCAAACCACATGGATCTCACTCTGTTGAGAGGGCAGTGCGAGGACAGAGACTATGAGCTGACTCTGTCTGGGTTAATGATATTTTCTTACTTTGTGGCTACAGTTTGTTTTGGGCGCTCTGTGCCGTGTTAGTGTGTGAAGAGGAGGTGATTGAATGATTTATGCACATTATGGAGGTAAACAATCATAAAAGTGTTAGTTCATATGGTTTTATACAGTATTATCCTGTAACTTGCTCCTGTTTGGTAAAAATAAGGTACTTTTTAAAAAGGAATCTGAGTCCATATTCACTGGATCTTTAGCTGAAAATACTTTTAAATGCAGCTTTTACAAATCAACATTTTGGACAGTCTTTAGCTGAGCGTTAGATGTTAAACTGATACCAATCTTATGTCTGTGTGGTCAATATATGCCCCATTTCGATCAATGTGAACTAGTCCTGGGCCGGTGCTCGAGCTGGTTCAGGGGTTGGTTGGTTCAACCTTATCAGAACCTGTTTGCTTTTCCATGAGAGAAAACCTACAGCAAGGAAACTGTTTGCAGAGTGTTGATGCTAAAAACTAAATGAACCTTATGGGGGAATAGTCTTTTGGGCCAGTGTGTATCATGTGATTGTTGTAATTACACATTTTTGGCCGTGACAGTGAAATCTGCTTTGAAGCCTGGTGCTCTTCCTGGGGGAATGGTAATAATTCCAAGATATAAGATATAATGTGTTATTAATGAGCTTCAGAGGTTCTGGATTTTGTTAGCTTTGAGCAGAGCCAGGCTAGCTGTTTCTCCCTGTTTCCAGTCTTCAGCAGAATATCACGCAGAGAAGAAAGATCCAGAGACGGAGCACGTGGGCGAATTTATCTCCGCAACAGTTTGTCCAACAGCAGCACTGATGAAGATGATGATGATGCCTTTGGAAAGCTGCCTGTTGGACCTGCATGACATCACTGTTGCTCTTTCTCTCTGCAGTGTCCTTCCAGCAGCACTTACCTTCAAATATTTAGTTACCAAATCCCCCGACGATAGAGTAAACTCACATTACAGATGTGACTTGGGGAGCCGTTGATGTGGAGCGGCTCCCGTTGGCTCCGACAAACAGAAGCACTGTTGTGTCTTTAACGAGCGCGGTCTCAGATGACAGACTGTGTTTCACGTTTGGATCTCATACTGGAACCATTCAGGAAGTCCAGATTCACTTCAGTCACTCAGAGTCAGTGCAGAACGTTGTGCTATGAAGGCAGATGGATTACGAATTTCTTTTTTCTACATTTCTATTTTACCTGTTAATGTGACGCTGTTGTTGATTTCTTAACTTAAACGTGCAGTATTTAATTTAAGTGGGGGTCTTTTACATTGATGAGGTGGTGAAGCAGCGTGGGATCATGGGAGTTGTTGTCTTCACCACCATTGGCGTCATTGCAGTCAGCTTCTCCCGGTTAGGATTCCTTCAGTGTTCATGGTTCAGGAGGTTTCTACCGGGAGTCCTATGATCCACAGAGGTCTCCTCCTCTCCAACACAAACAGACCTGCTGATTAAAACCACTAAACACACTGAATAAAGCAGTTCCACCTTAACAATCACTGCTTCTCCCACACTGTTGGACAGACAAAGGACGTCCCAGAGGGACATCAGACTGGATCAACAGTCAATGTATGACAGCTTCTGGCAGACAACCACAACGCTGACACAGGCACAAAGGGGATATGACGCCATCAGCAGGCGACACTAGATGCCACTGAATCCTACACACTGGTCCTTTAATCCTGCACTCACTCCCTCTGTTGTCTTTCTGTTTTTTTATCAGATAAAAATCCTCATGGGCGACCAATGACGATTGCAGTGCTTGCTTTTCCTTTTTTGCAACAACTCTGATATTTGTGTAACTTCTCCCACTCCTCTGGTTCCCACTCTCTGTGTCTCTGTGAAATTCAAACTATTCAATCACAAATGGAGCAATAGAATCCGAGTAATGCAGAGGAAAATCCTCTTCCTCCTCTCCACCGTTACAATGGCTCCTTTCAGCTTCCTGGGAACAGCGAACAACTCCTTTTCTGGGCCACTGGTCCACTTCAAGAACAGAATTTTGATGAACCTCATTAACCTGCAGCGTCTGTGTCGTATACTAACGAAGGTAATTAACTTTATGGGTGTAATGGTGCTTGAATACCATCCCAACAGAAGAAACCTTAATTGCACTAAACTACAATTCAAAGGTTTGAGAGGAACTTTGTTTCCTCTTTTACATTTTTTCCTCCCAATCTAATTTTATTCTATAAGCTTTAACATACAGCAGGTGTTTTATATGTTTAATGGATAGTTAGTGGACAGTCTGAGTGCTGCAGACTGAACTCTGTGTCCCAGAGATGGGGACTTGAGTTTGCGACTGGAACTTGACTTAAGTGGCACACACAGAGACTTTAGACTCGACTCAGACTCGTGTTTTGGGACTCGTGAACAATCATTATGTTTTCTTTTTTAGTTATTGAGGAAACTCTGAAACGTCTGACGAGCTTAATCTGATTCCTTCCTTTTTTTCATGATAACCATGGTAACCATATTACGCATTGGGTGCGTGCCTCGCGGCCTCACGCACTAGTACCTCGGATGACGACTATGGCGACCGGCAGCACACCTGCAGCTGCTGCTGTACCATTTGTGACTACATTTGGTTATAAAAACTTCAAACAGGACGGCACCAACAAAAGGAGCGCTGACTGCAAAGTCTGCAGTTCCCGAATCAAGGATGCTGGATCCACCACATCACATTTTATCAGGCAACTGAAAACTCACCCGGATAGATCAGTCACATTAGCGCATATGGACGGTTAGCTCAGCATCAGCTATGTAATGTTCACTTAGCTTGCTACTGGCTTTGTAACTGAATATTTGAATAGATGAGTGAATGATAGTTTGCTTGTCGCACTTGTTTGCATTGAGTGAATGTTACAGGTTTACCAGGTTACCATTACACTGTTTGAGTGAGAGGATAGAGGAATGTGTCATTAGAGACCCAGTGTAATTAAACAATACGGTTGCAGAGTGCAAACCTTTAACTTTTTTGTCCACTGGAAAAATGGCTAGACCAGTGACTGTTGAAATGTTACCAGCCACTCAATAGATTACCATTGTTATTTTGGCTGGTGAGTGCAGCATACAGTACCAGCCACTTGCATGATTTACCAGCATCTGGATGGTGTTCATTTTGTGTCCAGCAGATATAGCTAACTATAACTGAGATTGGATGATTAGTTATTATTGCATGACTAATAATGTTTTATTGATTTACAAGATTACAAGATTACAATATTACTTTATTTGTCACATACAGAAGTCCCAGAGTAACATGCAGTGAAATGTCTCCTGGTTACTCCTAAACTGGCCTTATAAATAGAATAAATAAGATAAATATGAATAAAATCAAACTAATATGATGTAAATAATGTAATTAAATATAATCTAAATAATGTAATCAGAAATGAAAATATGTGCAAGGGTGTACTGATACTGTATGCTAATAGATAAAGGAGTGATAATAATACAGTAAATGCTTTGAATGTCTTAGATAAAGCTGTGCAGTATTCTTAGTAGACCGGATAGCAGCAGATGAAAGACGGCTCATTACAATCAGAAGAGACATATAACTTTTATTTTTTAGAGACTTGAGACTTGACTTGGACTCGTGACCAAAGACTTGAGACTTGACCAAGTCTCACCCCACAAAGACTTGAGACTTGACTTGGACTTGCAAAAAAAGACTTGTGAACATCTCTGCTGTGTCCAGAGTTTATTTCCAGTGAGGTCAGACACGAATACCAGCGTTATCTACATGGCTGCACGCCTGCTGCAGAATGTAGAAAAATGCTGACAATCACACGGGGGCTGAAAACCTCCCAACAACTGTCTGTGTTTCAGTGACATATGAGTAACTTCACAAGCATCCTTGTGTCGGCCCACAGGAAGTCTTTTCCCAGAGCGATACTAGGCCAAAACAAAGGCCGTCGCTGGCGTCTGTCCAGCTCCACAGCCAACTGCCACTGAGAGACGTTCAACCTTTGAGAGTGCAAATGACACTGACAGACAGACAGACAGACAGACAGACAGACAGACAGCTGGATCAGATAGGGAGTGATTAAAAACATGCATCACATTTAAAAAAAAAAAAAACATTTTAGGCTGCAGAAATCCCTCAAAACAGTCAGACAGTCAACAGATATTAAATCTCAGTCTAAACTCATTTGGATGTATACTGTGTGTATCGAGTGAATCACATTAATATCTGCTGTTATTCTGTGAGGTAAAAAGCCAATAAAGAACTCATTAAAGAATAGTTTATCTCATTCAGCTACAGCCATCAATAATGGATAGAAATCATCCCGTTTCCACACATGTCCTATACATGAATGAATAAATCTCTTCTCTTTGGGTATTTTCTTCCTCTCTCCGTTCTTTCTTTTTCAGAGGTCATGTCTTCCGCCTGTGGCTGCTCCAGGTTTCTGTCCTTCAGCCTTTTATGAGACGAGGGGTTAGGAGCTCCATATGGTGAAGGAATGATGGAGAGGAGGAAGAAAAGAAAAGGTGGGCAGAGATTTTTGTCTGTCTTGTAAAATCTGCCCCCACATCCCTCTCTCTACCTCCGTCTCTCTCAGAGGGCCGATAGCTGCGTCGTTTCTTGATGTTCTTCCAGTCTCAGTCCGTCTCTCTCAGATGGACAAACCAGAGTTTGAAGGCCGCTCATTGGCTACCGTACAGTGAAACTACCGAAACAAAGACAACACAACAACAGCAAAAACACATACTATTGGGAACAAAGAGGTTGTTTCTTTACAACAGAAAGGTAGAACGACGTGAGGCTGGGGGATAAAACCAGATGTGTTTTAACTGAAGCTGTTTTTTTACAGTTGTATAAGAATCTTAATACAATAAATTTAAAACGATATAATCCCTGCCTTCAGTAATCCTCTGCACCTGACTCCCTCACACACCTGTGCACCTGTTCCCCAATCAGCTCTCCAGGAAATATACCAGCCCTCTTCCCCTCTTTCCTTTCTGCTTTGTTTGCTAGTTTGGACCAACCGCCTGTTAACAAACCTGTTTCTGACAACAGATTCTCTTAAATATTACACACTGGACCCTTTTTATGATTAAAGCTTCTGTTTAGTCACTGCCCCAACAGTGTTCCATTAAAAATAATACGGTACACTAATATTTGATTCTGGATTTGTTTTCCAGTCCAGAACAGTGAAACCAGATCATTATTGAACCACAAAGGTGCAACTGGGCTCTGAATGTTTTGAACACATTTTCTGGCCCCTGTGTAGTCTGCTCCGTTAGATTGAACCGGTTTAAACCGTGATTTATTGCTGTGCTAACTCTACACCAAACCTCTGTGTCTATTTTGAGGTTTTAAGAATAGCTTTGCAAAAACAACACGTCCGCTCCTTCCAGCTTGTTGTAGACCTAACTGTCTGGTTGAACCATTGTACAGCCTAAAACCATCTGAGACCATTCAGAAATCTTGATCAGTCCTCTCAGACATCTAAATCAAGCTTTTGTGTCAGGTGAGTAGTAGTGCACATATACTAAACTACACCGCTCTGGTCTGTATCTATATTCCTAACTAAGGACCAGGTCTACAGGCGGATTTATCCGTCTAATGCTGCTATGAGTGTGAAAGAGTTCTGTGTCTCCAGATCTGCCCAGTCTGGCAGGCAGCTGATTGGTGGAGAGATCTCCCTCTCTGCTCTGCATGGCTTTTATATGGCTCCATCTGCACTGTGTGTGTGTGTGTGTGTGTGTGTGTGTGTGTGATGTGTGAGTCGTACGTACACACATCTGCAGTAGGACCAAGGTGAGGATATCGTTCACCTCCACCGTCCACTCGCTGCTGAAGCTCTCTGGAAACTGTGCGTCAGAGGAAACAGGGGTCAGACTGGCTCTCTGTGTGGCCCCTCTCATACTGAGTGTATGTTGGGCTGCATTAAAGTCATCTACCGGAGCAAGAGTATCTGTGGTATGTTCGTCTGCCATGTGTCGGATTTGAGTATTTTGAGTTTGTAAAACCTGAAGAATTTGAGCTCAGGGCTTCCTCTTCCTCTTCCTCTTCTGTGATTCACATGAACCAAAAAAGGATGAATCAGTTTATACTTTCAAAGTGTATGTATATGTATATGTAAGTGTAAGATATATGTTTTAATCAAAGCATGTGAAAACAACACATTAGAACATAAATATCACCCTAGTGATGAAAGGACCGGTTCTTTTAAGTCTCTCGTTTTATAAGATGTACAGTTTAGAGAATATTAGAGATCTAAAATAAAACTGACAGAAGATCTGTCGGGCAGATTAAACTAACATATACATACATATACCAACATACCAACACCTCTGCCCCTGTACCCTCTCTACTACTCCTGCACCAGTAAAATTCATGTGAAATTATTTTTCTCCGACTGCCTAACGTCTCTCCTGTGTGCAGGTCTGGGAAAATTAAAAAAGAATTCACAATATTATTATAATAATCATCAAAATATACTTAAAATACGGTATATTCACCTTACCTCACAGTTTGTATGGCAGATAGTGCACCTAATCTCCCTGTCGTTCTTTAGTTTAGAATCTACAGTATGTTAAAGACTCACTGTTTAACCTTTTTTTATGGGAGACAACGGCCAAGTAGAGCTTTCAGCCCTGGTGGCAGGGTTATAATTTTGCGGCAATTCAACATAAATCAGGGAATCAATATCTAACTGTACATTACTGAGCTCGACAGCTCTTTCAAGTCACTTTTTGAGCCTTTTGAACAGCAGAAATTCACCATGATATACTTATCTGAGAGCTTTTTATCACATAATCAGATTACACAGATTTTACTGGCTGAAAAGAATCACATGAGATGAGTTTCCTGGGCCATTAAGTCAGCACTGTAAAGGCTAGAAAAGCTGCAACATTCAAAATAGAAACACTGTCAAAACTGAATAATTCTCTATCATTTATCGGTTATGTGTGGGGGTTGGGATGCGATGGCTATGGGTTTGAACCCGGATTGCGGCCCACATGTTAGTGATCTTTTTACTATGAGGGGATGAGAGAGGGTATGGCGGGTTAACAAGGCGGATGCATTTCAGTGATTTCACTAATAACGGGGGCAGCATCTCCCCTCTTGTCGCCTACAGATCTGTCTACTTTCATGATGCTTGTAATGTTTGAGTAATAACAGGTTTTAAACTGTTATTGAGGTGTTAATTATGTGTTAATTAAATGTATGTTTTAGCATTGAGGTTATAGGAGTTGCATTATATTGAGAACTACTTTAACTACTGTACAACCTCACTAATAAACATATAGTTTACATATTTCTGACAATAACAGCAAAAACCGAACATATAACCTTTGAAATGGGAGATTTTATGGCAAAGCTGTTGTATTGAATTGATATATATATATTGTGTGTGTGTTTATTTTGGAAAGCTGTTGAAGGTGTTACAGTGCACGTCCCATAAACCTGACTCGGGATTCCTCGCTGTCATTGTGGAGTTTTACAGTCAGACGACGGTGACCCGTTACAAAGAGACAAATTCCTTCCAGGAGAGCTGAAGCTTCTCACCACCTGGAAGACGCCATGCTAACACGCTACAAGACAGAGGAGATCATGAACTGCACACGATGACAGACTTAACATGTTAGTGGTATGTTTTCAAGTGTTTCTTGGAGCCGTTTCTGCTTTTATGGCAGAAAATACGTCAGTGGAAAGTTGAATTTCATGCATTCAGTTTCAACTTGAGCCTGCAACCAAATTGAGACGAGACCTAATTAATGTGACAAGTGTCAGCCCTGAAGAGCACTACACTGGAATAAAAAGGGTTTTTTGAATCAAGCCTGTAAACAAGTTTTTGTCTGCCTTTGAAGTTGGATTCTGAGGATTCATACATCAGTGTTTTCCTCTTCCTTTGTTTTTATTGTGTTCTTCTCTTTGTCCCTGTGCGAACGTCTAGAAAGTTCTCAGAAATACCGGCAACTGGCTCCAAAACTCTGAACTGACCTCTGTTTGTTCATTTTCCTTTTGGCCAGCAGTCATTGTCTATCTGTTCAATCCTAAACCGAGATGTGGCTCAACATCTCGTCCAATATAACAATATCGGTGTCCCTGTACCACCTCAACTGGCCCCCTCCCATTGCTGAGCAGTGGATGTCTGAGCCCCTCACCCTGTCTCTAAGCCAAGACATCCTGTGGATCCAGATCCTCATTCTTTCAGTCAAAGTCTGAGACTAACGGTGATGGTTGGAACATAAACCCACCGGCAAAATGAAAGTTTTGCCTTTCGACTCAGTTCTCACTGGGGGTGGGTTCAATCGTTCTAACTATATAAAACCTATTGTATCTGTAAATATAAATAGCTGTCAAAAGGAACGTTAATAACAAACAGTTAGACATTTATGGTCCAGGGAAATAATGGTAAAGGGTATTTTTAAACTCTAATACTTCCTGTATCTGTTTCAGATTAAAAGCTCTCTGGAGTTTCTGTGGACTGAATTCAACAAGCCTGTTATTGTATGGTGTTTATCAAAGGAAATCAGTATCAGTATACAATCAGTATGGACAGATAGGGCAGGCAGCTCCACGCGTGCCTGCTCAGGTTGGCAGTGTGAAGTTAGTGTTAGCTGTCTGTGCAGATAAGCAGCTGGTGGTCAAAGTAACAGTGAGCCCCGTTTCTGTGTGTATTCGCTAGTATTGAGGCCATTCAGTCAGTACCATTAAAGTATTAAAGTTCAGTACCCAGCCCTGCCCTTCACCACAATGGCACAACGCTCACAGTACTGCTGATGTGCACCAACCCACTGATACCCTCCATCTTACCCTCACTGAAGAAGAAGACCCCACTCCTCAGACTTGCAGGTGCTGACCCGACTGCCTCACATTCGCCTGTAATCCTGCCCAGTGCGTGCTGGAGGTCACGGTTCGCAGTCCTCTCTAATGTTGAAATATGCCACATTCTGTGTGTAGTTTAAGCATAATTTATATCACACGTCAGTTATCTTTCTGGAGCAGAAAATGCTAAATCACCAGCTGGGTGCAGAGTTTGTGTCTTCGAGAGCAGAAACTTTTCCACGCTGCGGAGGTTCAGGCTGATTTACAAACATTGTCTTGTATCCTTTAAAATCCCCGAGTTGGACCCTCACAGTGTCGATCAACAGTGTAACACACCATTAGGTAAGAGAGGCTTGGCAGGAAGAACACATGAGTTATATGTGTTTCTATGAGCTGATTTTCCCTTTGCGTGTCTTTTTGTGTGTTACGTTCGGCGGAGGAGAGAGCAGGCGTGTAGCCAGACAGACAGACAGGTCCTGACGGGCCTGTTGTACATGAGCTACACACACTAATGAAAACCTGATCCCTCCTGAGGTAATGCTGCAGTCACTTAGTATTGGAGTCGTACGGAGAACGGGTAGCGAGCTGGATCCCCTCGTCTCTAATAGATTCTCAGTCTGGACAGTCGTATTTCACAGCAGCCGGCCGTTTGAACAAAACAAGGACCCTCGCTGACACACACACACACACACACACACACACACACACACAGACAGATGTTTGTACATGTGTGAACAGTAAATATCTGTGTGTAAGGTGTATGACGGCATTCAGTGTTTCCATAGGAATTAAATTCATACTGGACCACTCTGCACGCTTTGCTTCCAGCAGCAGTCGAGGGCTTTAAGCTGCTGATTATGTGCAATATTTCTGCATCATCCGACACCTCAACACACCGTCACTCCAAATCTGTCACATCGCACGTTATTCTGCACTTTAGCAGATGAATGCCTTTGCATCCTTGTTAGTTGTGTAGTTGTATATTTCAGTGTCAATTAGGGCTCGAGCAGCGACTGATGCAAGGAATAATAATCTTTCTGCCAAAAGGACCACATGCTCAAACCCTCATGAAACACAGTGAAACTGAACGGATTATATGGGACATTGCAAAAATCGGCATCCACGTGTATCATAACCAGACAAACCCTAACCCTATGTACCCATACCCCAAACCCAACAGGAAGTCGTCCATTTCTGAATTTAGTGGTCATTTTTTACTAATCTGATCGACTTCAGATTCAGTCAGTGCAGTCGAAAGCGTATCCTGATGAAAAGTTGTTACTTGTGACTTTCAGATGCAGTGTTTGTGGCTTGCTGTTGAATTTCGTGAATTACATGCTAATATTCAGTTATAGTCATAGCGCCACCTACAGGACACAGGAAGTAAGCCTTGAATGGCAATTATCTGCTGATTCATGTGAAATGTTACACGATGTAAACCTTGTAGCTTTAAGTGTATTTGTATTGTACTGCTTTATCTTATACTCCCTGATGCTTTGTAAATATGTGTGTTCTTTCTATCTTTGTAAATATGCAGGATACAATGCATCACTTGAGGCCGACACGACTGCAATTTGAATTGTGCTTGCACAATATTAATAAAGTTCTTGAATCTTGAAGTATTCAGATAATTTACTGAAGTAAAAGTACTCATACCACACTGTAAAAATATTATGTTACAAGTTAAAGTCCGTCTGCATTGAAAATGTTACAGAAGTAAAAGTAACTAAAAATGTCTCCTGTGACTGTTGTACTATTATGATATTCAAAATGGCTGACTTCCTGTTGGGTTTGGGGTGCGGGTCATCTTAGTCATGATACACGTGGTTGTGTATTTCATGCAATAATAAAAAAAAAAAAATTTGATGATTTATAATTTTTTTTCTCATAAACTCATAATTTCTCTTTCTCTCTCTCTCTCTCTCTCTCTTTCAACACACACACACACACACACACACACACTAAAACACACACTCTCTCTCTCTCTCTCTCTCTCTCACACACACACACACACACACACACTATCTCTCTCACACACACACTATCTCTCTCTCCACACACACACAACACTATCTCTCTCTCTCACACACACACACACACACACACACACACACTATCTCTCTCACACACACACACACACACACACACACTATCTCTCTCACACACACACACACACACTATCTCTCTCTCACACACACACACACACACACACACACACACACACACACACACACACACACACACACTATCTCTCTCACACACACACACACACACACACACACACACACACACACACACACTATCTCTCTCACACACACACATACTGGAAACACCAGAAACTGTTTGTGTAAACTGCAAAATAAAAAATGCAGAAGTGACTTTGAGTCTTACACCAACACTCGTTCTCACACTGATGTGCTGCTCAGATGTGGTTCTTGTGGTTGAAGTTAGAAGAGGCTGTAAGTCATCTAACCGCCGGTGAGTGAGATGACGGCGTGGAACACAGAGCGAGGACTGTTCAGCACGCAGGAAGTCGAGAAACGAAACCTCACACAGTCCACCACCAACCACAGAGCAGCTTTTCAGTTTCATATGAACCCTAAAAACCACCGAGATCCCTGTGACTGAAGGCTCTGTCTCTGAAACACAGGCCACCCTACTAATGCCCCACTTCAATCTGACCTCACCTCAGTTCAAACCAGATCCAGAGTCGCCCTCCATGGAGAGGCCGGAAGCAGCCAAGAACCCCAGTGAGCACTCTAGGTTCATACTTATTGTAGTTTAATAGTTTTTAATTTTTGTTTTAAATTCAGTTAGTTTCCAGAGCAGGTTCGCTCATTTCAGTTTAGTTTGTATTAGTTTTAATATTTTTTTATTATAATATTAATATGAGGGTATTTGTCAGGGACAAGGTTTCCATGAGTCTCAATATGTCTCAATAAACACGTACCAGTGCTTCCTTATCCACCTCAACTAAATGACATTTCCACCTCAACCAACAGTCAAATCCTTCTTTTACATGAATACATAATAATAAAATATCATATAATAGTTTAACACTGGGAACATTTCTATGCTTTTAATACTTTTCCTGATTACTACATACAAGTTTTATAAATACACAATATTAATTAGTTTGGGGTGTTATTTTCAAATTCTAGTTTTTATTTTTGCTAAAATTTAATTTTAGTTTTCAGTAGGGTTGAGCGAGTATCCCTACGTCTAATTACAGGAAATTTATTTATAAAAAACAACTTAAAGTCCAGATAATTTAGTTGGTTCAACAGACAAAGATAATGGTGTATTTGCTCCTTCCTATCTTCCACTCCAAGGAAAGACTTTCCATCAGTCCAACACTGAGTGAAGTTGTGCACATGGCTGCAGACGTCGTTCTCAGTACATCAGTAGTTAAGGGAAGAATGTGAGTTGAGAATTGTGGGCTGTTCAATGACTTGTTGCTGTGTGAGAAACTCATTTGAGCTCCATAAAGGATGAAGGAACTTGTTCCACTCTTCCAGGATTAATCTTTAGGTCTTTTCAAACGGTTCTGTGTTGCCAAACTATTTAACACTGCAAACTATCAACCTCAGGGTCTGGATTTCTCAGCAAATAGAGGCTCAAAGAACACAATTCAGTTGCCTTTAATGGACGGCAGATGAAAAAGGAAGGAGGCAGCAGAGAAATTGCTCCTGCAGATCAGCTGGTTGCTGGTTGGATGCTCAGTCAAAGCTTTTGCCAAAGAGCCAGGCACGGTATCGAACTCTCGCCAACACACACAAACACTTTACAAGCCTTTACTTTCCTCTTCTAATGACTTTTTTCCTCGTCTTTTATTTTGGTTCCTCTCAGCTGTTTGAGCAATTTCTCTCAAGCAATCATCGCTCCTCTTCTTCCTCTAATGACCTGGCTGTTGTAACTACTAATAACCTATTTCCTCTGTTGTCATAATGACTTCACTTCTTTTCCCTTTTTAGATGACTTCCTCAGTTGCTCACTCAACTTTCCTTCAAGTATACTTCAAGACTGCTGTGCTGAGTCTTTTCAGGGATAAACCGCCGAATCTTCACTACAGTTGGGCTGAAAAAGTTGAAGCAAGTCCTGTATGTACATACATACATATACACATATATACATATACAGTATGTATAGTGCTGCTCGACAATTTATCCCTCACGTTGGACCAATGGAGCTTATTTTAGATGAATTTATAGCTTTCCCCACACAAATGATCTTCTTCTCGAGGTCTTCTGAGACTTATTTTCCTCTTGGCTAGGGCTGCACGCTATTATAATAACATCATACTGCCATTATTCTGACAGATTTTAGGTTTGCAATATGATTCACAATTATTGTGGGAACCTTTTTTGCATCACAAATTCAATTTTCAATGAGAAAACAATTAAAATTGTGATGATGTGACATTTTTTGGGGTGTGTTACAAACATGTTTTCTTACATCTGGAGAAGATTTGTAGGTCAGAACATCTGCAGCACTGCAGCACCTCATTATAATGCTGTTTGTCACATAATTTACTTTAATCAATAAAAATGCAGCTTGCATTTGCATATGGTACTCACCATATTGCAGCCAGATTTCAAAAATGCAGCTCTACTCTCGGCACAATTGACCTGTTCAGGTTCCCTTTGGTAAGACTGACCTGGTTTGATCTGTTTAATCAGTGCTGCCCAATTTCTTCCCAAAAGATCTCTCATTTCATTGGTTAATTCAACCATTTTTGTTCCACCTGATTGTATTTACCTACTTGTTTTAAGCAATGCAGCTCAGGGTTCACTCACTTTTTTCTCACACAATTGATTCCCTCAAAAAAAGTATATGGAAGTGATGAACATACACTTGTTATTTCATATAAAGAATACTTGACTGAATAAAGAAATAATGATAAAACAATAGAAAACTCCAAAATGCTCAGGTGGTTGACGCACATTCAAGCAGCACTATATAGTCACATCTTAAGTTAGCTAATGTTAGCAAAATGTTAGTTAAAACAAAGGTTGATGATGTAGAAATGTTCTAGTCTGAACAGAATTTAGATTGTAGGATGGAATATGCAAATGACAGCTGTGACACTGTTAAAGTTCTACGCAGGGTTCCACAGGGTTCCCTGTTCTCCAGAAAGACTTCATAGTGTTTGTGTTGTGGTGGTAGAGAAGTGTTTGGTGATTAAGAAGAAGCGTTCGGTGATTAAGAAGTTTTGGTGATTAAGAAGAAGGAAGAAGTGTTCGGTGATAGAGAACAAGTGTTCGGTGTTGGAGAAGAAGGAAGAAGTGTTCGGTGATTAAGAAGAAGGAAGAAGTGTTCGGTGATAGAGAACAAGTGTTTGGTGGTGGAGAAGTGTTTGTTTTCTTCAGAGCCATGAAAACTTTGGTTTTATACATTCCTGAAGACCGGATTGAGGCAGAACCAGCGACTGAACTCGACTGTTCAGACCTGGATATCTGCCTCCAACGTCCAGAGAGCCCTCCAATAACTCTGGGAGGAGCAAGATCTCTGAGTCCAGTAGCCACCATCCTCCATGAAAAGGTAAATCATTGGTTCCTGGTTTACTCCTTTTTACTTTTTTAATACTATACTGCTTTAATTTGCTGCAGATATTCAGTTTATAACAGAGGTGAATATCAGTCATAGTGGAATTTGAGGCTGAAAACATGATTGATTTACAAAAGATTATATAATTTATTGCATGTCTGGGGAGAAATCAATCCACGTTAACAGTTAATTAAAGAGGTAAAAGTAATAATGGCTAATTACTGAAATCTTGACCTTGTTTCTTTACTTAATTAATAATAAACTTGTAAGTAAAAAAAAAAAAGATCTTTGATTTTTCTTAAACCTCAGTTAAATAGCTTTTGGTCAGCAGATAACTCTAAATATAGTTGTATGTAATATTTACCAGTCTCATAACAAGAGGAACCCCTTGCTGCTTTTGTTTTGATAATCCAGGAGGAAGACGAGTGTATGCCGCTGCCACAAGAAGAAGAAGCACAGCAGGAAGAACCTCTGCAGGAGCTGCAAAACCTGCAGCAAACATGGCAGAACTCCATCCAGACTGAAGAGCTGGAGGGATTTAAAGACATTGCAGGTTTTGCAGAAGAGATGATGGAGGAGCTTGGGGACCCAAGACCAGAGAAAAGCATCCGCAGACGCTTCCTGAACTGGCTCAATGAGGGCTTGGAGGCCCGTATGATGAAGAAGATCGCAAGAACGTACCAGAGAGAGCTGGAAGAGGGTGATCGCTATTATAGAAGTAAGAAAAACAATCTTTATTGCTTTTTGATTTAAACGCTGCTGTAAATCACGGGGCTGTGTTGTTGCTTTGTGGCACACAATCAAACCTCCTCTGGTCTCTTGTTTTCCTGGTGCAGGCTCCTACATGGCTCCACCACTCATGACCCGAGCTCAAAGAGAGCGCCAAAAGAGGGAGGAGCTGATCCAGCTGGACAACCAGAGACAGAGCATCAACAAACGTCTGGACGCTCACTGGGAGGCAAAGAGGCGCCAAAAAGAGGCGCAGAGAGTCGAAGAGGAGGAGCGCTATGAGAAATGGATGGTCGGACATGGCTGGAGCGCCCCCGACTCTCCACCGGAGGCGCCAAAAAAGAGGATGAGCAAGTGGGAGAAGAGATTTTTAAAGTGAGTTAGTGTCAGTCAGCCTTACATGAGTTGACTTAAATGGGTTGATGAGTGTCCTTTCAGTTTGGACGAACCTGACAACAACGACCTTTTTAAATCTCATATTTCTGACATCTGTCCAATGTGACGTTACTGTAAACTAATTACATCGCTGTAAGAAAGCAGAACTGCTGTCTCTATAGCTGTTTGTGTTTATTCGTTTATTACTTTTATTATTACTTAATGCTAGATCAGGTATTGTAATGTTAAAATACCCTCTGCTCCAGACTGTTAAACCAAACTCCATTCTAAAAACAGCTGTTTTATGGTAGGGACATATTTTATCACAGTAAACACTTTATTTACACCATCAGTGAGACTCTTTTCTGATTCTCTTCGATCTTTAAATGTAATGTGAACTGTGAAGCAGCTACTTTTAGGCACGGCTCCACTGGGCACGAATACAGTGCTTGCTTCACTGAAAAGGGGGCGCAGCCGTTCTGAGGACAGCAAAGTGACGTATACTTGTTGTTAGGATCCCTCTCAGGATTTTAAAAATCGGTTAATTCGGCTGACAGTCGTCCTCCTCAGCAGTGAGGTTGTGTTTTTACGACCAGCAGATGAATTCTGTCGACTATGTTATAAAACTGTTTATTTTCTGTTTTTCAGCGTGAAAGAAGTCTTCTCCTTCAGAACCAACCGAATTCATCCTCAACTCCTGCCTGACCCGGTGGACACAGAGTGACCGAGAATCCTGTTACTCTCCATGTCCCTCCCTCTCTGTCTCTCCATGTACATAAAGACACTGTACAGTCTTTGTCTATGTGTAAGGGCAGTTAGCGCTGGCACCAGTTTGCCTGTGTGGGTTTCCTGCAGTTCAAAAGTTGTGATCTGTTATAATGATCCTCTCTCTTCACCTGTTTTCTCTTCACCCTCTGTGTGAAAGGTGTCTCTGAGTTTGGCCTCAGTTTGGCCTCCATGCAGGTCTCTGTGGTTCAGAAGAGGTTCAGTGGTCCAGGTCCTTCAAGCTCCTGTTGGCCCCTGGAAGTTGCTGGAAGTCTGCTCTCACTGACGACACTTAATGTTCATTTAAAGCTGTAATATTTAATATTTAATCATTAAAATGTCTAGAAATTCTTACCTATGTTCTGTATGTAGTTGAGTTGTGTTCTTACATTGTGAATGTGTATGGATGTTAGTTTCTGTTTGATGGGCTTTGCCATCATTCGGTGAATGTGTGTGAAAGGGTGAATGTGGCACGTAGTGTAAAAGTGCTTTGAGTGGTTGGAAGACTAGAAAGTCGCTATATAAGTACAGGTCCATTTACCATTTACCATTTACATTATCCCAAATGTTTCCAACAATGTTCAAACTCCATTTCCAATTGTTGTACTTTAACAAACTTCAACAGAATTAATCACATTGACTTGGGTCAGTGCGATCAAAAGATCCTTACGATGGAAATCTGAGCAAACTGTGAGTTTTCGTGTCTGTGGTGTCAAATTTCGATGTTTTGCTATGAAACAGGAAGTTGTTTTTGTTGGTCAATACTGTCCCAGACTTCACCTACCGCACATCGTGCACCACCACCTTCAGCGTTTGGATTACATTAAATGTTCACTGTGCAGTTTGACCATAATATACCGAAGTATAACGTATAATTAATGTGTTCTCTAGCGCCACATATTGGATACAGAAGGTTATATTTAACTCCTTTGTGCAGTGTCAGAATATTCAGAGCTGTGTCGACGTTCATTGCTGCCTGCAACTTCATTTATTTTATGTTTGATATATTTATCTTTTGGGATATTTTCCTCACTTTCAGTCTGTTTCAGTTAAGAACCTAATGGATGGTTAATGTTAATGGTTTCTTTAAGAGTAAATGAGCTTGACAAGTGGTGGTGGACAAATGCTGCTCAGCACCGCACACACAGAATGACATCAGGGAAATACTGATAGTCCGTTTATGTGTGGGCCGCAGGACAAAGACAGGAGCTGTTAATAATGTGTGTGAACAGCACACACATAAAGTCCTTGCACATAAAGTCTTGTTAAATTTGGCTGACTGCTCACAGTCGAGCAGCTTTTGTCTAAGGCAGAGAGGTCTGTGTTTCTGGATGAAAATGAAACAAGTCTATTTTTTTCCTTCCTCTTCATCTTCGTCCCTTCATCTCTTTACAAAGTCAACACATCCGAATGGGTTTGACTTTGGCTCTGATAGGACTCTGGGGATCAGGTCTGGGGCTGAAACAAGGAGAACAAAGTCATTCGGTGGTGATGAGGAAGAGGAAGAGGAAAAAATAACAATATTTCTCTCTAAATATTGTTATCCCACAGGTTTAACATCTGTGTGTCAGGAAACTAATGAAGACTGAAGATTTCATGCTAAAAATGTAAAATAAGAGCACAATAATAAACTCTGAGTTTCCTGCATTTTGCCATGTCTGTATGTTACCTATTAATGTTTGTGTGTGTGTGTGTGTGTGTGTGTGTGTGTGTGTGTGTGTGTGTGTGTGTGTGTGTGTGTGTGTGAGTCCTGGTCCAGTCCTGGAAAACCTCAACACCACCTCTGTTTCCTCACATTAGGATTAGTGCGCTGTGTGTGACAGCAGCAGCACTCTGACCGCCACTCTGCGGAGGGAAACAGCCATTTAACTTGTCAGCCTGCTGGAATTGAACCAGCAACCCTTCCCCCACTTCCAGTAGACTACATTCATAACAAGCTGACTAATGGAGAGTCAGGGCATCCTTCTGTAGTTCTTTGGCAACAACTGGGAATTGTATTATATACAACCAAACAAATACAATTGAATCAAATTAAATAAACTTCTGTATCTGCACAATATTCAATCACAGAACTTATATTTCTAAAGGATCATATTAAATGTCTGATATTTCATTTCTCTCAACTTGTGACGTAACTTTTGTTAATAATTGGCCTCAGTAACATAACAAAGATAGTGTTACTAATACTGTGAATGTAAGCCTGACTGATGTTTGATCAGTCAAACATAAGAAATTAAGCGAACCATAGGAATACAATTTGTACATATTTATCTAAAAGCCAGAAATCCTGATCAGAAACTTGAAAAGGCTCCAATATGATTTCAAAACCAATAATTTATGTAACGTGGTTAGACAACCTCCAGAAACAGCAAATGCTTGCATAGCAGGACCAGCTTTTATTTGAAAAAGAGATTGTGGAAGGTTATAATCATCATGAAGAGCAGAAACTATCTGCCAGGGTCGGGTAGTGTTATTGAATAGATCTGCCACAACATTAGGCATTTAGTTCTCTGTTTCTTGTCCCGTTATTATAGGAAGACGTCAGTGATTGTGTTTTATGAAAGAAATCTGAATAAGATACAAGTCGGCACTGAATCATAATACAGATATCCACAGTTTGAATGAAAGCAGAAGGCTTTGTGGTCTCACACTTTGTCATTGTGTGGGTCAGAAACTGGCTGAAACAGCAGTGGAAAACAGAAATAAATGAGTCAAACAAAGTGCGTCTGTCACAGTTATTGACAGAACAATCAAGACGAAGGTGTCAGCTTCAATAAGCTCTTTTCAGCTTTACAAAATCCACGCTCTCGTTATTTTGTGGCCAAGTTCTCGCTCTGTTTTTACGCTCTCGTGGACTTGGCTCGGTTCAAAAGGCATATGGTGCAATTAGCCTTCGCTTCATCATGCATGTGTTCCTGGTTTCTGAGGCATTTCAGTCCTTTCAGGTGCTCCCTCAGAGACCATGAAAGTCCTGTTGATGAGTCTGCGGGGGCAGACTGAAAGTTTTTGAGCTTCGTGGTTAAAGTTAGTAGTTAAGGTGATCAACTCTGTACTGTCTGAAACTCACAGGGTGAAAACATGATTCCTTGCATACGGACACACTACTGTGGGGAAGGAGTGTCAGATATGGGTGAATGTCTTAAAATGCATCATTACAGTTGCAGATAATGAGTACTGATATGTTATATTAATTATTTATTCTTAAAAATGTAAAAAAAAAAACATCTTCCAGGAGCTGGATGTGATTTTTACTGATTTAACTAATTTCTTCTATAAAGACAGACTGCTTCATGGCACCACGTTGGGCGGACATACAGGTACATATAGGTTTTGTATGGATTTTTTTCTATATATATATTTTATATTTATATATTGCATGAAACACATTCTCACTCCCAACATGTCAGATATCAAATTGTAGGTGCCTTACGGTAATCTGCAAGAATAAATATGCAATGTCCGATTATATTCTGTGTGAAATATACCCTTATAATAAACACCTTTAAATTGTAAATTATAACTAATCTATGTTTTACACAGTTGGAATTTCTTTAAACACTGACATGATTTAGATTTATTATGAACTTCTCTGAGCACACTAATTAACTTTTTTATATTGTAAGTCTCTTAAACGTTTAAATATGCAGCATGACTGTACACATTAGCACCTTTTGTACATTATAATTGACATTAATGTGCTGCTCCTATTGTGGCATGTGACTTCTTTCTTTATGATTATGAACTCGAATGTTCAATAAAGAGAAAAAAAAGGTCTGCTCTGACACTGGAACAGCACTTTTAATATTTATTAAATTTTTATATATAGTTTTTAGCTGAATAAATACAAGATAATATTTGTAATATATGTGTATTGAAATTTTTCCCCCAACGTTGCCCAAGTATCAAGTTTTAAAAATCCACTCAGAGATTATTAAAGTTTTTAGTTTTCAGCCAAATGTAAAAGGACGATATAGCAGTTGTTAGCGAGTGAAAGGGAATAAACCCACGGTGAGTGACGTATGCAGAGTGGCGTGCCAGCTACTGTCTTCTGAGCAGCCAGGAGAGCAGCCCAGGGGAGCAATGAGTGTTAGTTCGCTCTGGAGGTCTGTCAGGCTTTAGGGCCAGGCAATAAACTTGATAGTAAAGTTGATTGGCCTTCTGCCCCTGATTAGTGAGCCTGAAACCACCAGTGACACTGCAGCGTACAGCCCAGTGTGTAACTGAGCTGACATCAACCTGCAAAACTCTTTAACTAGTCAAACAAGCAGTAATAATAAAAATTATAATGATCAACCCATCAGTGCAATTTAAAGGTACATTTCTTAACAAAATCTCTGTGTGAAAAGTCAAAATACAAAAAAGTAGAAATGATTCAATCCCAGACAGAAGGAAGAGCTTTAGGTGGCAGAGGTCAGTCAGAGTTTAGAGTCGGGTAGTAAAGTTGATGGTAATAAACTTGATTGGCTTCAGCTCACAACTGACAGTCTGAAGTCCTACATTTCATCTTCTGAGCTTAAAGCAACTCATAAAGAAGAAGTCCTCACATCCTTTACTGAAGTAAAAGTACAGATACCTTCGTCTAAAAATAAAGGTAAACGTCCTGAAGTCAAAATGTTACTGAAGGAAAAGTACAGAAGGATTATCAGCAAAATGTACTTAAAGTATCAAAAGTGAAAGTGGTTGTTAAGCAGAACGAATCCTTTCATCCTGTTACATGTATATTATTAGAATATGTTATTATTGTATCACTAATTAATACATGTGAGAGCACTTTAAAGCTGTAGTTTGTCTTGTAAACTAAGAGCCATGTTGTGATGTTTTTAGGCATTTTTCTTTTAATTCAATTAAGTTTTATTTGTATAGCACCAATTCATAACTCAGATAGAGCAGGTCTAGACCATACTCCTTATTAAATGATTTACAGAGACCCAACAGTTCCGAGGTTTGCAATGAAATTGTGGGAGGACATGACAAAACTGCAAACACAGATTATTATTACTATTATTTGTATAATTTATTATAGATCAACAGGGTAAATGTGAGATGTTCGCATTGCACATCTGCAGCTTCATGACTACAAACAAGGAAGTGAGTTTGGGGACGTACGGCTCAACGTTTTGTGCAGGAAACCACAGTGATGGTGGTCACATGTGCAGTTGCTCTGAATGGACCAAATTGTAAGGTTGTGCAGAATTCACACAGGTTGGTTTTGTAATTTACGTTAATTGTTGCAAATGCAAAATTACAACTTGCTGGAGGGATGATCATATAAGCATATACACACCTTCTGTGTCAAATAAATGTAGTGGAGGGAAAAGTACAATATTTGCCTCTGGGGAGCAGACGTAATGGAAATACTAGTTATTTACATTCCACCACTGATATTCTGTTTTATAATGTATGAGCTCTCAAAATGACCACAAACCACAAAGCTAAATGTGATGGAAGAAGAAAAGAGTGAGAGTTAAGGGAGGGAAGCAGGAGGGCGGACAGCAGCTGCTGATAACTGAGCAGTGAACTTCAGCCCTGATGTTTGAGGCTAGAAACAATGTGTCCATTACATTGGATGTCACTTGACAGGGGCTTCTTTTTTACTTTTTGCAACATTTAACAGACAAAAAATAGGTATGATGTTGTCATATGATGTTGGTATTTTAAGAATTGTTTGGACCCGATGTCCATTGAAATGGACAAGAAAAATAACAATTAAAGGGTTTTGATTAAAAACATTTTTTTTATTGATTCTCATTTCTGGTTGCATTAAGGATGGGAAAAAGTCATTATTATATTTTTCACAACCTTGGAACATAAGGCGGGTCTGAAAGGGTTAATCGATTAGTTGATTGATAAAAAATTCACTAGCAACTTTTTGAAATTAATTGTCAACAGACCAAAGTTATAACTTCTCAGTAGTGACCTTTTAAGAGAACATGACTGATAACCTTTAGCTTTAGGAATAAATAAACCATAAAGACATCAGAGTTATTTTCTGACATTTCATGGACCAAAAACATCAAGAAAATAATAGTTAGTTAGCTAAATGTGTTTTGCAAGATACCGTTGATTCATCCTGAGTTTAAACTGTTTCTTATATTTAAAAAAGTTTCATTGGCATGAAATATAGAGTTCTTCCATAGCAATTCAATATTATAATGTCAAGTGTTAAAGAAAAATAACTTATGACACAAAGGCTGCGTTCAGACTGCAGGCCATGTATTTATTTCTTGCTCATCGTGACTCTTTTTTCTCTCTTTTCATGAGCGGGAACAGCACAAATCACATAATTTCTTTACAGTTAGGGTTCGTATTTAATCACTACTAAAAGTGATAACAGTAAATGATGTGCACTGTATGTGGAGAGTGAGAGTAAAAACATTGCAGGAACTAAACAAAGATATTAGAATGAAACACTTTGACAACCAATCTGGACTTTTAAGCCCAACTTCAACTAAAAGGTGTGGAAAACCTACCTGGTGGAGGAACACATAGCTCATGTCCACAGTCTGTAATTGTTCTCACCTCCTCACAGTCCTCTGGATGACCCCACCTGAACCGACTTAATCCTTTGCCTTGCCCTGACCCTCGATCAAAGCACCTCTACTTGACCTCCGACCTCTGCCTTTGATCAACTGACAGCTTTAACCTTTTCATTTCACTTCACTCACTTTCAAAAAGATAGAATTTACTAGAAAGCTTTGACGTCTGGAGAGATAAAGTCGATGTGACTTCCACAGATATTGAAATATTTCAGTCTAATAAAGGAACGGATTAACTACCAAAGTCATTCATCAGAATCTGAATCTATTTATTATATAGCAGTTAAGATTTTTTGTACCTTTCCAAGCATCCAGGTAGACTTCTGTTTGTGTTCAGCTTGAACTCAATCTGCCAATTTTCTGAGGAACTGCTGGTATATCTGATGCATTTTTTGATGCAGAGAAGAAGTGAGCGTGAATGTTTGTGTTTATTTGTTGAGGTGGGACCAAGTCATTGTTCGTTCCCAAGTCAAGTCTCAAGTCCTAAACTTCGAGCTTGGAGTCTTTAACAATATATAATAATGTGCTCTTCACCAAATCAAATTACATTTTAACAACAGAACGAAATGAATTTATCTTTGGTATAATTTTTTCCAACAGCCGCTGAGTATCACAACATTAGTTCTTCATGGTTCTCTGCGGTGATTGGATGCTGTTAAACTGTTCAAACAAAGTGGATCTGAGGAATTAAATGTGGGAATTATTAACGCTAATGTTACCTGAGAAAGGGGGTATGAAATGCAGCAAAGGGCCCAGGCTGGAATCGAACTTGAGCCACTGTGGTATAGACTTGATACAAGGTGTGTGCGCTCTTACATTAATTTACATACATTTACATTTTATGTCTATCCTGGTTCTGTTTGTCCCTTTTCCTCTTCTGTACCCTGTAGCTGTGCCCAGGTGTGCTGATTGTTAGACGAGGTGCACCTACCCTGTGATGAGGTGTTTAAAAGCCCTCTGCCAGTGTCAGAACAGAGGCTTCTGGCACAGGACTGCTGGTGTTGCTGCCCCTCAGCGTGGGGTGGGGGGCTTTGTGTTGCTCTGTGTTGCTTTGTGTTGCTTTGTGTTGCTTTGTGTCTTCTGATTGTGGTTGTTTGGGTCAGTGCTTTTCGCCCTGTAGAGCAGCCAAAAGCCTAGCTCACAATATCTGCTTCTGCAGCTCGTGTGCACGGTGAAACATCTTATTTTTCATTCTTTATTATAGAGCAGCCACATTGCCCCGTGCGTCGCATGTCTGCAGCGTTGCTTCACTACAGAGTCTTGTCTAGTTTTAAAACCGACAGTGAAAAGGGTATGTTCGTATCGACATTACACCAGCAACAATTACAACTTTCACTATTGTTTCAATGTCTATATCTCTAGAATAAGTCACGGAAATGGGGGGGAAAAAAATTTATAAATTTAGTTTTTAAACACCTCCTGTGTGTGTTTGAGATTCTCCTGCTTTTATTGTACTTTATCAAAGGCAGACTCTCTTGGTGTGATCACCTGTATGTTTATCAGAGTCACATAACAACCCACCCCACCGGTGCTCCACCGCCTGCTGCTGGTTTACAATTCTGGCCCCTCAGACAGTCTGATGCATCCACTAGAGAGTTGTTGTACATCCTCCCTCCCTGAGCAAAACAACACTGCATGCAGCAGCCAAGAGTCTGTTTGTGATGTCAGGTCCTGGAGCTGCTTCACTGACAGTGAATGGAGAGCAGGTTTGTCAGCGCAGCATCAAACTCTGACCACCACAACAAACAAAAAGAGAGAGACACAGTGTGGAGCGTCTCGCTAACGTCATGGAGAGTCCAGCAGGGGACAGAGACCGCTTCAAAAACACATTAAAGATTTTAGGCCCCTGTGTTCCCTTAAAAACATCTAAAAATTCAGATGTTTTCCATCGCAAATCCTCCGCCCAAGAGGGACCCGTAAAGCACACAGAATTACATCAGAGAGAAAGAGAGGAGGAGGAGAGAGGAGAGGGAGGAAAAATTCTTCAAGTATGAGAAAATTTTACTGCTCTCCTCCCCTCTCTCTTTCTTTCTGTCTTTTATTTTTTTCTTTCCCTCTCTCTCTCTCTCTCTCTCTCTCTCTCTCTCTCTCTCTCTCCCCCCCCCTCTCTCGCTGTCCACCCCCCGTCCTTCTGGTCCTGTTGGTCAGTCAATGAGAGTTTCTCTGACACTGAGAGACACTTCTGGACCAGCTGAGAGAGAGACACCACAGATCTGAGCAGGTAGGACGCTTCTAAAGACTCTCAAACTCTTTGATTTTGCATCTTTGATTCATTTCATTCATTAAAAAGAGTCTGAAATAATTTCATTGACATTTGATTCTGCATCAACCTGCACGAGGAGATATTAAATTCAAAATTAGAGCAGGAATTTAGAATAAGAGCTGAAATTATTTGTATATTAATTAATGATGATTAATAATTAATGGTTGCCAATCATTCCACAGTCCCGGCTCCTCAACTGTGAAATTTTATTGCTTTTCTTCTGTTTTTTTTCTGACATTTTAAAGACCAAATAATCAATTGATCTAGAAATTAAATGGTAATATGCAACCATATATTCAATATTCTGAATAACAAAACAGTTTTAAAAATCTTCTCTCTCTGCAGTACAGAAAATAATGACTTCTTTCAGTACCACAGTTAATGAAAGTCTCCTCATGTAATCTGGTTCAGTATAGACCCCTTTCGTCTTTTATTGAGTCACAAAAAGTTAATGTTCTTGTGCAATGCAATAATCAATATTTTTTCTTAAAGTGTATCTTATGAATTTAAGCAGAAACCAGAATAAGTCAAGTTGTTGTTGAAATATATAAAAAACGAGGGAATTTGTGTTGATGGTGAAATCTCCCCACTGCCATATTTCTACTTGTTTTAATAAGATTTGATTTTTAAGCTTCACGTTTTAGAAATGAAGAACAAAATGACCAGTTAAAGATTATAATTTTTTGATTTAGTCAGGTGGTTTCCAGACTTCCTCCTGCATGTCGAACCGTCAGTGCTGCAGTGTTAATTGTACTGACAGCAAAAGTTATGTGAAGACCACAAACTTTGTGAGTGACAGAGCTTTTTCTCCTATGAGTGATTTCATAGTTGTGCATGTTGTCCATGTGACCTCTGCCTGTAAAAGTCTGTGATGGATTTTACAGCGTCTGGCCGTTCAGAAACCGATACCCGTTGGCGAAGGCGTGTGATGGCTGTCATTGCATTGTATCACGCCATCGAACATCCATAAAAACTGCACTTATTCTAACCAAAAACCTTAAGTCAAAGTCCAGTAACAAACCTTTTTCTGAGATTTCCTTCACCAGGTGATTGAGTTTGCCTCGAGTTAAAAGCTGCAGAAAAGCTTGTAAGTGGACCTCGAGTTACGTTTTTTTTTACAGAAACATAAAAGTATTATTGTTTAAGGAGAGCTCTGCAGATTTTCCACCTCAGCTTGTTTCCAGGTGTTGGGAAATACACCTCAAGCATAAAGCCTGTAGCGCCTGCAGAGGGCGCTGATAAATGTCCTCAAGTGATGTCACTTGAGTCAGTCGAAGATTATAACTTTAATAATTAAAGAAATTTGTTGGAGCCACTGGACCTCTGCAGCTGCTCCTCATTTCTCCTCCAGGCTATATTAGCCACTGCTAGCATAACACAACCAATTATGTGCAGTTGAGTGAATCAGGTTTGATTGCATTGTGGGTAATGTAGGACAAAGAAGAAATATATGTGGAATAAAACAGATGATATCTGTGGTCCTGCTGCATTGATAAACATCGATTTTATCCCTTTTTTTTTTTTAACTGTCCATCGTGAGTTTGTCGACGTTATCGGAGTTTAATGTTAGATTCCCGCAGGTGTGGTGGCGTTGTGATCTGGATACGAAGCTGCTGGAGCTGATTGCTGCTGTTTAGACGATGGTTGTAAATCCACCAGAAGTGCTGCAGCATGTTTTTAGAAGCGACTCTCTGCTATATTTTTAACAGAAGCTGCACAGTGCAGATCGAGCTGGCAGGAAGTCAGACTCAAAGACAGCACAGAGAATCCAGTCAATTTTCTAAATAAAACACCCTGTATAGACTCCTGATCACACAGAGGGGGGTCAAAAAGAAACCATTTAACCATGTAGCCTCCAAAAGGTTATTTTCTGTCCATTGTCATTGTGATGTGAAGATAAATGATAAAATCTTTGATCAAAGTGCAGGAAAAAGTAAAATATATAATTAGATCTTGCACAATGGAGCAACAGATTGGTCTGTTTGGGGTTTTTGTGAATGTGTGGAAAGGAAATAAAACTGTAGAATGAGTGTTTCAGGTTTAAATGCAAGTTTAAGAGCGATTTTATTGTTAAACTGCCAAACTGCAGTTAAACTTCTGCAAATACAGAGTCTCTCTGTAATTAGTAAAAGCACACAGCTTCATCCACCTCACATCTGAGGGCCTTGTGGTGTCGCTTGCTGACAGTCCGATCACAGCGTCAACCTGAGCCAAGTTTGGGTATCGAGTGCCAAGCTTGTGTTTGAATGAGCCGATTAGACAGAGTTTATTTTGGCTCCTGAAAGCTGGAGGAAAAGGCTGCGACTGAAAGATGAAAACCAGCAGCAGACAGAGAAAGTAGAGGTGAAGAGCAAGTGTAGTCTTTATGGTGCGTTTAGGGAGCTTCCATTGCCCTCCTGTGTTTCCGGAGAGGTCCAACCACAGCAGCTGGAACAGCTGTCACTGGCAGGTATTTACGAGCTAATTGTTCCCATTGAAGTCAATGGAACAGGCTCACTAAAAGGCTGAGGTCTAGACCACGATGGGAATTAAACTGCAGATGCTGAACCCCATTGGTGTCAGGTCAAGTCAAATTAGTAACAGAGGAAATAAAAGTGGGCAGAGTTAAAAACAGGTCCGGTTCACAAATGAGGTCCCACAGACTTCAGCTGCAGTGAGACAGTACGCAGAACTTCAACTTAAACGGACTATCAGGAGTTTCAACTGCTTATAAAACATTCTCTGTTTAATACTGAGGTCTCTATATGACCGACATAAACAGACAAGACCATCAGAGAGAAGACTGGCTGTTCATATATACTAGATGAGTGGACTCGACAAACTTCATGACTTTAGACTCCACAAAATCAAAAAAGACTTTAACACAGACGTCTTCACTTGGACTTTTGACTGAAAGACTTACAACCTTCCCCCCCAAGCCCAAAGAGTTTCAAAAGCATGTTATTTAAAGTGTCCCATCATCTCCTGAACGCTATTCCTTCAGCAAGTCGACACTTTATTATCAAGATGCACTTGAACCAATCTGACTGTCGAGTAGCAGGAGAGAACCACGAGGAACTAACGTTGAAAGATAATTTTGTTTGCATACATTATGACTTGTTTAGGACTCAAAACATACTTGTAACTTGCTATTGCCACCGGGTCAGATTCCTTTAATCTGTTTTATTACTCTGTTTACTTTGTTTATTTACTGTGTTTATATTTGTCTCACTTTTATTATTTGGTATATTCTTTTATTATTCTTAGTGTTCTTCTTTTCCTAATTTTACCTCTAGTGTTCCCTCACTGCATATTGATGATAGTGTTTCCTCTGTTCATGTTTTATTCATTGATTACAATGATAAGTATTATAGTGTGTGTGTGTGTGTGTGTGTGTGTGTGTGTGTGTGTGTGTGTGTGTGTGTGTGTGTATTGGGAGAGTGTTTTTTCATGTGTGAAACATTTTTATAAAAATTCGTTACATTTTGCTCATATAAAAAGTGTTACACAAATCATCATCAATGTCATTTCATTTAAAGCTGCAGAAAACACATTGAGAGACAATGATTTGTGATGATTTACAATGTTGCCGAGGTACAAACATAAAAATAAAAACAGAAATATAAAATAAGAGCACAATGGAAACATCAGAGAAGCTAGGAGGTAGCGATAAAGAAGAAAACAAAATAAGTAAAAATCAAAGTCTGATTGATTGAAATCAGCTAAACGAGGCGACAGAAGCACTACTGCTTTTGTCCACAGGGGTCACCAGAGAGTTTCTTGTACAGGCTTTACAGGTTGTCGCCTTCCAGGGAGTCCGCCATGTTTAACCGCCATGTTCCTACAGTAGCCCAGAAAGGACAAACCAAACACTGACTCTAGATAGCAGCGTTCACGTTTTTCTATGGTTAATTTAAGCAGCTGATTTTAATACAAAGTATTAATTGCTTAATGTGAATGTACGACTGGGTCAGATTGTGCTCCTTCATTAACTGTACAATAGCGCCCACCACTGGATTTGTAATGAACTGCAATAAACTTGAGCTTTGGTGCTTTGATGAGCCTCTTCCATTTATAACGTCAGTAGTTGTACTTCTGAGGTTATCTTGGTAAAAGTAGATCAACCAGTACTGTAATACTGTAAAGTAACTCATTACCCTTAAAATGTAAAAATAACTACTAATATGTGATATTATGTTGTTTTAAAAGTAACTTGTCCAACACTGGACGTTGGTGTATATAAATAAAAACTTTAGACTTTAGAGAAACCAAAGAATCCTGCACACTTTCAGTCACTTTAGAGAAACGTTTTGGTCCTTGATGTTTAAACTGAGTACAAGTGAAATAAAAATGTCCTGTGAGGATAAATTCTGATTTAAAATAATTACAGCACTTATTTGAGGACAGTAGTTGGGCTGTTGTGTCCATTGAGACCAAACATGACCAAATTGCCTAAAACTAATAAATTGCTCTTCACGTGTCAGACTGGATGACGTTAGGCTGTTGGACTCGGACCAGCACTGGGAACTCTGAGCAGCTGGTTTCTTCATTCAAACCTGGATGGAGGACACACAGTAGATCTCAAGTATTAACCAGCTTTGGTTATAAACCTCTCAGGGGAGACACGGTGGTTATATCACTTACTGTTCGACTCATACTTTTTCTCTCAGCTACTGTACATGTGCCGGAGGAAACGTCAGGGGAAAACTTCATGACACCAAATATCTTTATACTGAAAATCATTTAATTAAGAATATATTTCCATAAATACTGTCTGTGGTTGACTTTACATGAATCCAAGGAAGTATCGGAAGTTAACATGTGTTTTGAATGCAAGCCGTCCTAAGTGTGCAATTTTCTACTTCTCTCTTTACTTTCTATGTAATGTTAATGATGCTGTCACAGTCACACTGTCACTACACCACTGCAGTTATGACGGTGCCGCTGGATGGCAGAACGAATCAATCGCCAGTTTCAAAAGGTCTTGAAAATGTCTCTCAGTAACTTAAGTAGTGGCTCAAGCAGCCATTATTCCCTGTGCTTCCTTCCATCCTAACATTTATTTTATAGCTTTCTAGGATTCCAACAAGAGTGAAGTGATTTAATTTGTCCAAACTCCTAAAACGCTCTGAAGCTCTGGAGAAACAAATTATAAATCTATTAAGACACATTCCAGTTGTCCGGGACCATTGCTGTGTGTATACCAATCAGACACGAGGATCCATTTGAGACAGATGAACCCATTACAGTGTAACAGATCAATACATTGATAGTCTGTGTGCCGTCATCATGTATGAATGTTAGAAAAATGTCTTCCGGATAACAAATGAGTCATTCAGACCAGGTTAGTTTTTCCATTGTGGTTTAATGGCTGACGAGCTACACCGAGGAGCTCATAAACAGATAATGGCTCCACTTCTGCTAATTGTGATTAAAGTGTAGTCTGCTGAGCTAACATGAAACTTTACGGTGGGTTTAAATGTGTTTCTTTTGTTTCAGGGGGAAAATCCCTGCAGTACAAAGGAGAGGTGGGATGAAAAACAACCTCCGTAGAGTCTGAGAGCTCACAGAGACATCTCTGACCTTCAGACCGAGAGCTGATAATCTGCTCGTCCTTTAAAACGCCATCAGCTTCAGTCAGCTCAGATATCCTGAGCAGTTCTTTCCTCTTTCGTTCCTGAACAACCTTCCAAGGAGGAACTTTCCCGGTCCGACCCCGGCCATGTGTCCCTTCGTCCCCTCCCTCCTCCTCGTCCTCCTCCTGGCTGCTCCGGCACTCCTGACCCCATCGACCTCGCAGGAGTTAGAGGTCAGAGGTCAAAGGACACCGAGGGACACCAAGCAGGACTCCATAAAGGTGAGTCGTTGGACTGGTGGATTATACCAGGTCCACAGATCGATGGACAAACCCTCCAGTTTAATAATAAGAGATATTCTGTCTTGCAATGTGTGACTCGAACCAGCTGTTTGTTTTTGCTTCTGTCATATTTCTAGAAAACTTAAATGTCTTCTGTTCAATATAACACAGTTATAATGCCGTTAATAGTCACAACAGAAAAAATGCTTTTTTTCCTTTGTTTCCTTTTTAATTCACAAAAAATATATAGACACAATTTCAAAGTGCCCAAAGTGTTACCAATATTGGGGGGTAAAGGGGATTTATACATGTATATATAAATATAAATTAGTATTTATTTTTCTACTCCTTTACTCCATTTATAAAACATTGAGTGTTATTATTATTTTTTTGTGTATCCCAATTTCAAGACCAGTGCATGACAGATGTATGATTACTTACTTACTTTAATACTGTGGGTAAATTTCAGAGCCTGTACTTTTTCCCTTTTACTTGAGTAAAGAAGTTGAATCAGTACTTCCACGTTTACAGTGTTTTATCTGTACATGTAAAGAAGAGTAAAGTTTGTTCTTTTGCCATCTGTGTATGTATCTATGTATATATAAGTGTAAAATATGTATATGTATACATACATGAATGAATCCTTCTCCTTCATGTCCTCTCCCCTGTAAACGCAGCCTGCAGTTCAATCTAATTGGTTGAACTGTTGTCACCTGACTGTCTGGTTACAGCAAACAATTTATTTTTGGCTAATTTTAAATGAGAATAATGTAGAATAAAATGTTTTTGCTGAAATATTACTATTTTAAGATTATATTTGGTTGTTTCTGCTGATGGAAGTGTTTATCGCACATTCAAAAACAACCCGAAATTTAAGAATAAGATGGTCATTTCTGTTTTTTTCAGTTTCTGTTTCTGATAACTGGTGTTTCAAACCCACCGGTGGGTTGTAGGGTTTTAGACGAGGCCCTGACACTGTCATTGTTACAGGTGGTGATCTCCGAGGGCTGCGCCACTCAGGGTGATTCCTCCGACGGCAGCCAGGGAGGTAAAAACCTACAGTGAAAAACTATTGTCAACAAATGTCATTTTTCTAACAACTTCATCAGAACTGGGAGCGGTAGAGGAAGTATTCAGACCTTTTACTTAAGTAGAAGTACTAATACCACACTGTACAAATACTCTGTTACAAGTAAAAGTATATTCTCCACTCAGGTGTAATTCAGCCTGCTCCTCTCTCTGTTTCTCAGGTAAAGAAATCGACCTGACTCCCGGTTCTCCTCTGATCCTGACCCATAAGATCAAACTGGTCCCATCAGGGTCAGGATCCGGGTCTTGCGGCTGTGAGACGGACTTTGCTGCCCTGCGGGAGCGTCTGGAGAGGCTGGAGAGGGAGGTGTCGGCCCTCCGGGAGAAATGTGGAGGAGCTGATGGAGGCTGTTGCACCTCCAAGGAGAGCAAAGGTAGAGTCAGTTGGATGCTGGAATAACAAACTTAGGACTTAAAAAGAGATGATATGTCAAAGATGTGTTCATGACTTGTTTCTGCGTGGTGGCCAAATAAATCAATCATTTTAGGTTTAAAGCCCAGAAAAAAACATAATCATGAGTTTAACCCACAAAAATGTACGTGACAAAAACATGAATACAGAAATCTGTAATGTGAAATAAGCAAAACTGTTCCCACTCTGAGAGACTATTGTGTTTTCCGGACCTTTGACCTCCATTAGTTTGTCTAGACAGTCAGTGGGAATCAAAACGAGGTCTGGGGGCCCTCAGGGGTCCCATGATTTCCCATCAATCCAAAATTAATTGCTTCAATATAAAGACAATCATGTCATCTTTAAGGCTTTTCCAGTAGTCTTAACGGGCCAAGAAACAAATCCAATAAAGCACTTAAAAGCAAAGTCTTTCTTGTTGATGTTGTAAATAAAATAAATCTCCAGTGTGTCATTTCTGCTCTGTTGATTATTGTCTGAGCACAAAGGGATGCAGCGCAAAACACAAGATAAAGGCTGTATCCTTGAGAATGAACAAATAATTTTAATCGTGTCTGAGGAGCTGCCTGTAAACGAGATGGTGTATCTCAGCGGGCTCGTCTTCATCCACTAGGGGTGTAAAAACACATCAGTACACTTACACTTCACCGTAGTGGAGCTCAGTGTGGTCGGCTCTGACCGCCGCCTTCTTGGCAGTCCTGACTCCATCGGCTAATCCAACAATGGGCGAAGAGGTGGAGCTGAATGAAGCCTGGTTACTAAAAACACCCACCTGTCATTCAAAGTGACCACACCCTTAATTATAAATAACTTTAATCATTAATATAATTTAAACAGACGAGTTAGAGTTCTAATGAACGGGGAAGTTAGCTATAGAGACCAAAACCAATTTTTGTACCAGACTGTAAACATGTTTATTTCTGCTGTACAATTTAATATGGGGCCTTATGGAGACTGACTCACAGCTGGGGTCAGCCTCTAGTGGCCGTTAGAGGAACTGCAGTTTCTGTTACTTCCGTATTGGCTTCACTTGCAGCCACAGCGGTTGCCGCTTGGCATCGCAATTTTATATTTTTGTGTATCGATTTATAATTAATAGTTCACAAAAAAATATTTTTTGTTGTCATGTTTAAACCCTTTAAAGTAAGATAGCAGTGTTGTAATCTGTGTTCAGACATTTGACTCTTCCACTCACACAAAAAGTAGTGCTATGATATCGGATGGATGTTAAACTGGACTGTGATAAATACAAACGCAGATCTGTTCTGAAGTATTTTGTTTTATAATGATTGGATATACCGCCCTCTCATCCACATTTATAAGTACATTAAAACCTCCATCCTGAACCCAAATCTGACTCTAGAACATGTGAAAGAAAGCTGATTATAGTTTTTAAATCTGACCACAGTCAGGCTAACCACTGTTAGCAAGTGTTGCACCATGACAACAAATACAAATACACATCTTCTCATATGACCTAATATAATTCTTTTGGTTTTATTAACAAAACAAACCAGAAGAACCCACTTTATACCAATGAAATGTTGAACTCATTTTCAGCCATTACAGTCTGAAATTACACATCTGGAGTTTGGTGTTGTTACTTTGCTGCACAGCGTGTGTTTATAGAACTGCTGAACTCTCTGTTTGTTGAACAATCTGCTCTAAACCTGCAATCAGAATCTCTGTCAGTGACATCTCACATTAACACTTAACCCAGAGGCTTATCTGGTGATGATACTGCACATAAAGGATGCTGGTTCAAATCCACAAGATTTCCTCACTAATCTGGGAAAAAACTGAAAGCAACATTTTCAACAAAATCTTCTGTAATATGAAAAAATATGAAATAATATTATTATGTTGTACCTGTAACATGTTCAATATGTTATTTAAATGAAAGATCTGCACCGTTAGTATCTCATAATGTGATAAAAGCACTGGTGACACGCTGCAGTGGACCTTTAACACTGATGGCCAAGTTACCTTTGAGCAAAGCACAACAACCTCCCACATTTACATGACAGCGTCTGGCTGCAGAGCCTCACTCTGGAGTTTCCTCAGATTAATAATTATTCAAATATTAAATCAATACATGTTGGGTCTGACTCCAGTTCTCAGTTCATATATTTCTCCTCACATCTCATCGTTCATCTCTTTCTGCTGTAACTCTTCATTACAGCTGGAAGCAGATTCACTCACAATCTGCCCAATCGCGTGCACGTGTCTTTGTCTCAGCCAATCGCATGAGTTCATATTACTTCACTGTTCTGCTGCTTTCACTGACTCATCCTGCACACACACACACACACACACACACACACACACACACACACACACAGACAGCATCGACCTCCTGCTGCAGAGTTTGCAGACAGATGACAAATTTACCAACTATTTAAAAGTCTTTTAACAATTATTTTTATTGAGAGCAGAATGAAGCTTTAATGCTGTCCGTCCCTTATTTTTTCTTTTATAGTGAACACACACATAAACAGACGCAAAAAAACCCACCAGGAAATCAACAACAGTGAAACAAAAACAAAGGAAAAGTTCAGATAAAAAGAAGAATGAATAGATTCCTACCACAATCTGCAGTCACTGTTATGCACATACTGATACAGATATAATACCAATTCGCCAAAAATGAATCGGTCAACAGATATATCAGTCGTGCTAATTCTCATATTAGAATTGTTAAAAAGGCGTCTACTCCTTCTACCTCATTTAAAAATCCACAATCCATAAAGTATGCAGATGTAGTTAACGTCTTAAGTTTTCCTGCTGGACACAAGATGTCTCCTCCTTCACTGTAAAAGTCCATTCTCAGTGTTCTGGTGGATCTCACTTTATGCGTTGCATACTAGACCAAACTATTTGTGATGTCAAAAATCACACTCATAGGCCCCGCCCCTTAAAATCTGATTTTCATTGAGGACAGAGAAACTTTCCACTTTCAGCAGATGAATGTGAAAACATCCTTCTAGTGTCAGATGGCACAGACATCATTCAAACATCACACTGTAGGAACAAGACCAAACACTGATTTTACTTTGATGTTTTAAGCTCAGTACTTGAGTAAATGTACTTAGTTGCTCTGAATGTGTGAGTGTGTGTCACTTTAATTATGTTTGACAGAATTATGTGAGATTCAGTCCATCACTCACGTCCTCCGTCAGAGTGGAGCTGACCTCAGGACTGATCACGTTATAAACTGGCAGAGCTTAAAGCATGAGCTAACTCTGCAGTGTGTATGTGTGTGTGTGTGTGTGTGTGTGTGTGTGTTGTGTCCTCAGCTGTCTGCCCAGTGTGATCTCAGTCTCAACCTCCTCCCAGTCCAGTGCAGCTTCCCTCCACCCTTCTCTCGACAACAGCACACACACACACACACACACACACACACACACACACACACACAAGGGGATAATTAGTGCGTTACACTCTAATTAGAGCAGACCTCCGCCTGCCACCATCCCACCCCCCCAAATACTAAAGCAGGAACTCATTCAAGATATGATTTTCCATTTTTGAAACTGCGGCAAACAAATGCTTCCATCACTGCCCTGACAGAGGCGAGCCCTGAGGATGGTCCATCAGTCCACTTTAGAGCTACATTACTCAACTACTGGCTACTAGATTTCATAGGGAGGCTTATGATTGTCAGATGTTGAAGGTTTATGGTTTTGGTAAACCCCTTTAACTTTCTTTTGCGCCCCCCTTAGGATGGCTAAATCATCAGGATGTTGTTTGTTCTGTTAAACATTTGTGCATAAACCTGAAGGGGTACAATTTCCAGTAGAAAAAAAACTAATACAAGACATCAAAACATTTTTATGGATATAAAATATGTTTTTGTTCCTCTACCTCATCATCTCGTCACCTCTCCAATTCATCTCGTGACACCTTGAGGCTGTAAAACACTCCTATAGTATGTTAGCCTCTTTCAGACATTTTGTTTTTAGATCAAGGCCATGGCACTTTAATGTTCTTTCTGTTTCTAATTTCCTCTATTTGTTTCTTTCTACCTTTTAAAGTCTTCTGCCCCCACCACTCCAACGTGCCAGATTCAACAGTAATGCACACAGAACAATATCAAAACCTGCTTAAAATCAACTTTAATCACTGACATTATCTCTATTATCCCAGAATGTTGAAGCTATGTCTATTTGGTACATCTGGTACCAAACTGATGCAGTACAAGTATTTGTCAAAAAGATAACAACAAGAACACAACACTGATAAAATGGAAGAAAAAAAGGCCAAATGATTCAAAAGTACACTTTTATTTACAGGTACAAAAAGTTCCAGATATGCACAAATTAGATAATCAGACATTATTATCCAACGTAGACTATGGCCTTTTGTGCAAATGCAGTACATCTCCCTTAAAAACAGTTTAACCTATCTGTCTCTTCCACTCTTTCCCCCTCCCCCTCCCTCTCCTTCAGGTGCAGGTTGCTCCATCAAACCAGAGATTGACGAGTGTCCCAATGAGTGCAGCGATCAGGGTCGCTGTGTGGACGGCAAGTGTGTCTGCTTCCCTGGTTATAGTGGACCAGACTGCAGCGAGTCCAACTGTCCCGGAAACTGCAACGACAACGGAAGGTGTGTGAACGGACAGTGTGTATGTGATCCTGGTTTCACTGGTCCCGACTGCTCGCAGAGAAGCTGCCCCGATAACTGCAACAACCATGGAAGGTGTGTGAACGGCAGGTGCGTGTGTGACAGCGGCTTCACAGGTCCAAGTTGCTCAGATGAATCCTGTCCTGGAAATTGCAACAACAAGGGGCGCTGCGTCAACGGACAGTGCGTGTGCAATCCTGGATTCACCGGCCCGGACTGCTCCAAGAAGGCATGTCCCAACAACTGCAACGGCCGTGGAAGGTGTGTAAACGGTAAATGTGTGTGTGATGCCGGATTCACCGGTGCTGACTGCTCTGAGAATTCATGCCCAGGAAACTGCAACAACAAGGGGCGCTGCGTTAATGGACAGTGTGTCTGTAAAGCTGGATTCACTGGACCGGATTGTTCAAAAAGGGCCTGTCCTGATAACTGCAACAACCGTGGCAGATGTGTAAACGGTAAATGTGTGTGTGAGAGTGGCTTCACCAGTGCAGACTGCTCTGAGATTGCCTGTCCTGGAAACTGCAACAACAGAGGGCGCTGTATAAATGGGGAGTGCGTTTGCGATGATGGATTCAACGGGCCGGACTGCTCGGAAAAAACATGCCCTAATGACTGCTACGACCGCGGAAGATGTGTAGACGGTAAATGTGTGTGTGACAGTGGCTTCACTGGTGACGACTGCTCAGAGAACGCCTGTCCAGGAAACTGCAACAACAGGGGGCGCTGCGTTAACGGACAGTGCGTTTGTGATGATGGATTCACCGGCGAAGACTGCTCTGAGAACTCCTGCCCAGGAAACTGCAACAACAGGGGGCGCTGCGTTAACGGACAGTGCGTTTGCGATGATGGATTCACCGGCGAAGACTGCTCTGAGAACGCCTGCCCAGGAAACTGCAACAACAGGGGGCGCTGTGTTAACGGACAGTGCGTTTGCAATGATGGATTCACCGGCGAAGACTGCTCTGAGAACGCCTGCCCAGGAAACTGCAACAACAGGGGGCGCTGTGTTAACGGACAGTGCGTTTGCAATGATGGATTCACCGGCGAAGACTGCTCTGAGAACGCCTGCCCAGGAAACTGCAACAACAGGGGGCGCTGCGTTGACGGACAGTGCGTTTGTGCTGATGGATTCACCGGCGAAGACTGCTCTAAAAAAGCTTGTCCCAACAACTGCAGCAACCGAGGGAAGTGCGTGAATGGGAAGTGTGTTTGTGACGTGGGCTTTGCCGGGCCGGACTGCGCCACCAAAGGCTGTCCAAGCAACTGCAACAACAAAGGACGGTGCGTCAAAGGGAGGTGTGTCTGCAGGCGTGGGTTCACCGGAACAGACTGCAGCCAGTGTGAGGAGGGGATGACGGGACCCAATTGTGATATCGGTGAGTCAAACCAAGAAAATTAGAGAATCCTTAATTAAAACTGGTCTTCAAAGGAGACCTGAATCATGTGGAGGTAGGCCCCATTTACACCTGATTTGTATCTGGATACATTATTTGAATCATAACATCCAATCCACAAGTTCTCTTTATGTCAATGGTGCCTTAGATGGGTCTGGCAGGGGACCCATCAACTTGCTGGACTCAAACAAATTGTGATGACCAAATGTGGCATGGCTGAGCCAATGTTACCAATACCAATTCTGAATCTTCTCAATCCGACTGTAAACGAAAATTTGATTTGAAATGTTTCAGATCTCACAAGTGACAAATTACTAGATCAAGATCAAAATGTCTTTCTATCAAGAATGTAGTCTTTATGCATTTTATTACTATTACAGAAACTATTTTTTTCTGTCCCAGTTAGCCAGCTACCCATCTGAATAAAAAACAGTAGGCTGATGCATTTGATAATATTCTGCTACGCTAAAAAGTAGCCCTGCAGTACATTCAATCAGTAATTCATCAGTTGTACTTTGTGCTCATCTACAGCTTAATTTCTAGTCCAAAGTTTATAACACAACACTGTTGCAAAACATGTTTTATGGTGCATCTATACAAAAACACGACAAACAAACAAATGTATCTGCTAACACCACTGACTTGTGGTGTACCACAAGGTTCTATTATTGGTCCCTTTCTGCCTGCCTTCAATATGATTCAGTTTGGGAAGACAAGTGGTTTTACGGTGTTACGTTTCACTTCTATGCAGATGATATGCAATTATAAATCTCATTTAAGCCCCAAAATGTCCAACAATTCTACATAACTGCCTCAAAACCATAGAAAGTTAGATAATGTCATATAATCTAATATGATAGTTCGCTCATTACCTTTGTCCTCAAGGTGAAGGAAAGTGTTGGTTCTGTTAAATTTACTTTCTAATGATTTTGACCAGCATGTGGCACGTATATTCATCCCTATTTTTCCCAGTTTACATGAATTAATTGCATCCCATGTAGACTTTGGTAACTCTCTTTTCACTTGCCTTAATAAGACATCGTAGATTTGCTTACATGCAGCCCAGAAAGGTGTTAGAAACTGTTTTACTAGGTCTTTTTCCTGGATTCTTTCAGTTTTTTACACATCAAACCCAATTCAAGATTCATGTGACCTCTTTAAGAGCCTTGTGTGCTCAGGCACCCACTTACATCAACAAGCTTCCTGGTTGTACCTTGTTCTTGGTTGTACCTTGATCCAGCCCTAAAACTAAATGTGATTGTGACCACAGAGCAAGCTTTTAAACTTTTAATCTCGGTCCTCTTAAATTTAGGAAAGAGATCTCAATTCCAAGATCCTGTTAACACCTTTTAAAATGCTACTCAGGACGCACTTGTTCAGCCTTTGTTTAGTTTTTTTGATTAATATATTATGTCTCTTTTTTATATCTGTTGCTTTTACTTTTTATTGCAACCACTTAGTGGCTCTAGTGCTATACAATTTATTTGTCTGCTGTTTACTTACCTATTTTTTTACTTACGAACATCTGCTGCATCATTACAGGTTGCAGGGGAATTATCTTTTTGCAGCAATAAAAGTTGCAAAAGCCCCATAAAATCACACATTTCCTCAACAGTGGCCATGTTTAAATATCCCTCTCCACCATCACTTTGGCTTTGTTTTTCCCCATGTGGGTTAGTGGTTTATACCATCAGGGAGAAAACTTTACATGTTTGGTATGTAAGCAGAGCATACCAGATGCTTTGCTGTAGTGTAATATCTTTTCACATAATAACTTAATGGGTCTCACACACGAGAGCAGACAGTTTGTCATTTCTGGGAAGATGTAGTTGATAAATGTTTTACAGACTTTGGGAATTATTTTGCTTTGACACTGAACTGAACTGAACTGTCGGGTCAGTCACGATTCATTCAACACCTGCTTTCCATCAATGATCTGATCATTTCTTCCCTGACAGACACTTTTCAATTTCTACTGACTAGCTAATTTGGTGCATCATTATTTGCAGTGACTTGTCTCTTCAGACTGTTTTGTCGTTGTTTTTGTTGTTGGCACTGCTGTTGCCAGGCTACGTTAGCATATTAGCTGGTCTGTTTGGAGCTGCAGTGATTTGAGTGACGGAACTGTTTCATTAACAGAGCAGCGGGATCCAGAAGTGCTGCCCATAAAACTCACTCAGACTGCTGCGTGATGGCTGAAACAGGACAAACACGTGTGTGAATGTTAAGTGTTTTACCAAATGTAACTGACCTCTGAAGGAAGGGAAGTCCCACAATCTGAAGCCCCATATGACAGGGAGAGAGAGAGATTCCATCCACCGGTTTTTATGCGCATATTTCCCATAATTTGTAGAAATGTTGCTATTGTTTATAAAGATATCTGAATGGAGACCCCAGAAATTCAAACAAATGTTGCAAATGTTTTGTGGCATATTGAAAAAAGTGAAGATGAGATAAAGATTTATGGAAACCACTTCAGCTCCTCTTCCTCTTCTTTTTGTCCTGAGTCCTGAGTATTTTGTAGATCCAGAAGCGTACCCATAGTTACAGGCCTCCAGTCAAGGGCCTCGCCAGGATTTTAGAAACTGGGACATGATCAAGTCCAAGGTCCCCCAAAGCACCTCGGTCCTCCTCAGAAAACAACAAAAATCTCTGGCAACAAAAATCACATTTTACTTATTAACTGATTAACTGATTAGTTATCTATTTATATACATTTCATTGGCTTTAAAAGTTGAGTAATTTAAAGCCATACTAAGAAAGATTTAGCTAAAAAAACAACGTATAGACTCTTTCTAATAATCTGTACAATATTAGACCTGCATATTTATATATAAAAACTGATGTAATGTTAATATGATCCCCATCCGCTCTACTTTTTTCCCGTTCTGTCCCATCATGTAATAAATGAGCCTTAAAGTGAAGTGTGCAGCTCTGTGCACCTTCTGCAGGATTGTGCGGAGGTGCTTTAGAACATATAACTGCTGTGAAACTAGCTCTCAGTTGAACCGGGGATGAAAACCTTTAATGGTGCTTTTACAAACAGTAACAGAAAAATCCTTCTTAGTATTCTAAGTATACTGAGGCTAAAAATATCTGTTGGTTTGTAGTTTGTGTTTAGTGCTAATCAGCAAATTGGTCAGAGGTGGCGAACATGGTAAACTTTATACCTGCTAAACATAAACATGTTAGCATTATCATTATGAGCATGTTAGCATCCTGACAGAGACTGCCTCTATGGCATAAGGGGGGAAAAATACGGAGAAATACGTTTTTTTTAATTTATTTTGAATTTCGAAAATAAAGTCAACTCCTTCAGTCTCTCCCAAAAGAAGATGTTTAAGATGTGTCCATTTTCCGTGCCTCTGCCTGCACGCAGTTGCTCCGGGCATCCTCCCAAGTGCGCAATGTGATGAAATAGTGTGCCACTACTTATTGGTCTAATACTGGTGGACTGATCGATACGATGGATGATGGATAACGTTAACAGTTAGTTACAAATGAACTCGCTAACTCTTCCTCTGCTGTCGTTGCCTGAACCTACCGTGTCTTCCTCCCCAGAGTCAGAGTCCTGGTCGGAGCCGCTGGAAAGCAGCCGGCCACCGTCAGTCTTGCAGACTGTGAGCTCCTACGCTAGCAGTTTTTAAACTCCCCTGACCTTCAAGCTCCCAGTCTGGGTACAGATAGCTGATGGAACCACTAACTAGCTAATAGCAGCTAGTACTGTTAGCATAAGCAGTAAGTGACTCCCTGTGCTTCAACAGAAAAGGTCTGTGTTGCAACAATCCTCTGATACCTTTGTCCCGGTGACAAGATGCAGCTTCCGAACTGACCAGTTTTTGTTTTTCTCCGACTATCTGATTAATGAAACATGCATCAACTAACACTCTTCACATCGACTAACGGTAAAGTCGACCGTTAGGGGTCAGCCCTATCGATGATATGACCTCAGTGTCCTCAGTGGTTGCCACCGGCCTCCAGTTCCCCTTAGAGACCCAAAAAGAAAAAACGTGTCCTTGATTTTGTTGCTGGAGAACAGTTGCTGCTGCTGCTTTATTCCTGTTTAACCATTTTCAGAATCTTCCTATAAAAGCAGCTGATGGAAGAAAATGTGATTTGCAGTTTCTTGCACCTTTCTCTTTTGGAATTTGCATAAAATGTGTTTTATGTTTCTAAATGCATGTGTGAGCATGTTTGGTAGCCAGCCACATAAATGCCCCTTTCTTTCTCAGTTCAGTACGTTGGACTTCAGTAATTGGTTACCAGAAACATTACGTCAGGCTCTCAGTGACCCACTGCGCAGTGAATTTTTCAGCACTAATTTTATGAGAAACTAGTGCAGTAAAACAAATCTGTGAGTTATTATCGAGTACGCCTTCAGTGTGCGCTTCGTGTTGGCAGCTTCAGAGTGCCACATGTGTCAGTGTGCGCTTTATTGAACTGCTGTTTATGTAAAAGACTGATGTATATGTGAAATGAAGATGGAACATGACAGAAAATAAATGATTCTCATGGTGAAATTGCTTTATTAAAACAGTCATAAAACTCGGATTATTTCTAGAATTTAATACAATTCGAAGAAACTGTCTTCTGCCCACCTGGCAAATATGAAAACAGAAGTACAACAGCAGCTCAGGCGGTATGAAGGCTTCACATAGTAAAATACAACTTTGTGATTTAAATAACAACAGGAAACTATTTGCCAAGTAATTCCACGGTCAGTTTAATCATTTGAGAAATTTATCAAGCAAAACTGTCTGTTTGTAGCATTTCAGATGATAAGATTTGCTGCTTTCTGTTGTAAACTGAATATCTTTGTATTTTGGACTGTTAGTAAGAAGAAAACAAGACATTTGAAGACGTCTCTTGGACTTCTGGGACACTGATCACTAAAGCTGAAGCACTGTTTTTATTTTTTCTTGATACTTTTACTCCACAACATCTCAGAGAAAAATATAGTTTGGTCTCTTGAGAAGGCTCTTTCATATTTGTTTCATTCTGTCTGTTTACTATGATCTCACAGATGTTCATGGTACCCTTCCCTAATCTGAACTAAGGGCCCCCATGGCCCCAAAATCATGAACCTGAATGTAACCCTTGATGAGAAAAACCTCCTCACCGCCTAAACTGTTTCATTTTCAGATAGAACAGTTTGTCTTATTGTTGTGCTGCCAGTGAGCGACGATGTGATCGAGGCCGATGCATCACTCTGTGTTCATGAGGTGGACGTCTCAATTTTCAGCTAAATTCAGCAGCAGCACAGACGGTTCATTTGTTCCACTGCATCAATCACACGAAACAGAAAAAACAGACACGAGGGAGAAAAACATCTTTCAGATGAAAAACTCCAAGAGGACAAAAGACTTCAATCAGATTTTCCGAATCCAAAAGACATTTTTGAGAATTATTATCTTTGCTAAAAGTCTCATCTGCTCTTCTATTCAGAAAATACTTTACACTAAACTGTATACGTACTTGTACCACACTTCTATTATATTATTAATATGACATATTTTTTTATCACTGGAAAACCTCATGAGTTCATTTAACCAGAAATTCATTCTTGATTACACAGCTTTTACTAGTAATTGTAAGTGACACTGACTTAAGTTTCTAATCTTTATTTGTACTGTTAAAATAAAATATTGTTCTAATTGTTCTATATGTTCTAAAAAGTATTTAATTGGAACTAAATGTCATACCATACCATATTTCTTTATTGCAGTAAAACACCTTAGTTTATATTGCATTGTGAAAATATTTTACTGGATATTTAGGTGTGATATTAGTGATATTACAATATCAGTAAATGAATGTTAAATAATATTGATAATAGTTCTTATTATAATTAGCAGTAATATATATATATATATATATATATATATATATATATATATATATATATAATAACATTAATACAACTATATACATTTCAGTACAATATAATCAAATACAGCAGAAATAGACCCAAATACAAAGTACAGTAAAAGCCTGTCTTGTAGTAATAGTAAACTGCATTATAGTACAGTTACAGTAGTTTATTGTGAATTAAAACAGCAACCTTCTGCCAACCATGCTGCCAGTAACTTACTGTAAATATACAAGGAAATGATTTATAGTGTAAAGGGTTGAATTATTTAAAATCTTATATAATAATAGTTGTTGTCAGATGAGGCTGGGGGCCCCCTTCACAGCCTCTGAGCCATCTCGTTAACCAAATCACACACATTCAGGCTCTTATGTGATCTCCTTTAATGTAAGAACTCATTTGCAAGTTAATTTCTTCACTTTCCTTCACTGAGCCTCCCCTGAAACTGTTGGGAGCCCCCCCGGAGACGCCCACCTCCCACTTTGAAAACCTTTACTCTGATTTATTGTCCATAATAAGATAATTATGTGAACATACACAGTGACAAAGTCTCTCTCTCTCCAGTCATGTCAGGTGTCTCTCAGTTGAGTACTCGGGACATCACAGAGACGTCCGTCACTCTGGTCTGGACTCCGCCTCCCGTCCAGTACGAGACCTATTACATCACCTTCACCAGCCAGGTAAGATGGTGGAGCTCCAGTGTGTCCCACTGAGGAGGATCTATGCAATATAATGTTCATAGGTATGTTTTCATTAGTGTATAATCACCCTACACGCTTGGAAGGCAAACAGTATTCAGTTGGTTGCAATATCTACACTACACGCAACTAGGTCAGTGGTTTTTGTTCAGGGACCCCTTTCTATCATTTACTCACTGCAAGTTTATGTAAAACGAGAGATTTGGATGAATTTTGAGCAGATTATTCCGATAATGATGATGAGATGCCTTCTGTGTATATTTATATATAAGTTTTTTTTACACCGCTTAAAATCAAGAAGGCCTTGTGATCCCAGATGAAGTCCTAGTGGGGATCCTGACCCCCAGGTTGGGAATCACTGGTTTAAGGGGTCAAAAAAAACACAACAAATGAAATGAAGGTAGATTAGGAAACTCTAAAAGTAAGAAAAGATACATAAAGTAAAACATTTAATCAGAAAAAACTAAATTAGTGTTATATAAAAGGTGAAAATAGATTTGTTGATATTCATGCACACCCAGATTTTTACTTCATTGATCACAATCTTTACAACACAGAGGCAAAAAATAGATAAAGACGCATATTTCTAGAAATAATTCAGACAGCAGATGTTGTCGACGGTCACCAAAACAACCCGCAGTTGCTCTCAGAGAGTCCTTGCTGTCCCAGTATTCAGGACTCCGAGTGCCTCCTTACGCTCGGTCCTTGGAGACGACAGAGAAGAATGAGGGACAATCTGTTTAAAAACTGATCCTGAAATTGACACAAGATCCTCAGGGAGTTTAAAAATTGATGATGAGGTCTGCAGACACGACCGTCAAAACTGCTGTGCATCACCTTAAACAACCCCACCCTGTAAAAACGAGACAATTTGTACATTAAATTGTATGAAAAGGTGAAACAAGAAGAAAACGGGACCCTTAAAGTCCAATTGAAAGAACCTCCAAGAATTATTATTTAAAGAAAACTCTGAAAACAGCTTTAATTGACGTTAAAGTTCAGATGTTATTGATTCTGTGTGTACAGATTCTGTTTAGTGCTGATCACGTTGAAAAGACATTTCACTGAATCTTTTCCATGACAACAAGAATAACAATAATCATGAAATTTCCATCAAAGCCTGAAAAGATGACAAACATTAAATTCAACAAGGATTCACTCTGCAGCTGCAGGATTCATTTCCACACTGACACAAAATGTCCGCTGAGATTTCTTCTTCCTACAGTGCTGATAATAAATTAACTGTTACAGTTGTTTTTGGGCCAAAACTCACCACAGCAAGTCACATTGTCATATGTTTTGTAGGTTCATAGCAGTGTGTCCGAAATAGGAGTATGTTCCCCTATAGGGGTAAAAAATGTTTATTTAAAAAATGCATAATTCCTAAAAGAATTATAGTATTATTTTTTATGCAATAGTTAACTGCCGTAAAATGTAAATTGCAGTTGCCTCCTCAAACATAAAGACAAAGATTTAGATTTAGATTTGGATTTAGATAGATTTAGATACTTTATTTATCCCAAGGGAATTTCAAGCATCCAGTAGCAGCATACAAACATACATTAAAATTATAATTAACCGTGTTATAGGTTAATTTTAATAGCCATAGTAGCCATACATTAAATTTAACCTGAGATAAAACTGAATTTAATTGAAACCTGTGCTTAAATATTAAACATTTGCAGAGAAATTGGACTTTTGCAGGAAGATTAAATAATGTGCGGAGAGAAACTAAAATGTGCAGAGAAGTTAAACAAGTGCAGATAAAATCCGCAGTGAAGGACAAGTTTCTCATTAAAAGAGCAACTTATCAAAAAAAAAATAAGTTCAGTGCAACAGTGTTGGCTTGTTGTTGCACAATGACAAAAAGATTCACCCAGTTAATCCCTAATTGGGAAATTATGTTTTCCCTTGAGATTTACACATATAGGCCCGAAATACAATCATGCACATGAGGCTTATAGACATGCATAGGCTCTAGATAGGGGCTGTTCATGTTTTTTGAGGCCACTGTAGTTTCTCCTAGACGCTTGCAGGTGAGCAGTATTCAGTTGGTTGCTCACTAGACACCATTAAATCCTACACAGTGGACCTTTAAGAGTTTGCTGTAAACAACATTTTTGTTCAACTTTAAAGGAGCAGTGTGTAGGATTCAGTGACATCTAGTGGTGAAGATTGTAACCAACTGAATACTGCTCGCTTTTTAAGCGTGTAGGAGAAACTACAGTGGACTCAAAACCTGTGAAAATCCAAAAGTACCTATCTAGAATCAGTGTTTGGTTTGTCCCTTCTGGGCTACTGTAGAAACCAGGTGGTTCAACATGGCGGACTCTGCCAGAAGAGGATCTGCTCCCTCTGTAGATAAAAACGTCTCATTCTGAGTTAACAAAAACACAAAGATTATAACACTTATTTTATAGGTGATTTTACACTAATGAAAACATACCTATGAATATTATATTTAATTTCCTCCTAAAAGCTGTTTATCTGTTTTAGTCTCTCTTTCCTTTTAAGGTCGAATTTCTGTTTTTAGGCACTTTTCCGTCCTTATAAGAAGACATTGTTGAAGGAAACATGGCTCATGGTTTTGATTTTCTGGGAATAAAAATGCAAAAAATACCCATTCAAAACATTCTTCTAAACATCACAACATAGTTAGTTAAAAATATTTTGTCATTTAAAAAAGTGGACAGTGAGTGATGGTATGTTTTGGCTTTTTATTTGTTGGAGCCGCAGCAGGTCATGACAGACATCAGACAGAATGATCTGTGAAACTGACTTAAAGTCCCAGAGGAGATCTCTGGACACCATAAACGGTGAATAACAGATTTTATGACGTTACAGTTCCCTGACTCTGTACACTGCATGTTGGTTTAAGAGCAAAGTGCTGCTTTCATGTTTCCATGACAGAATCTGAAGCTTATAGTCTCTTAAAGGGTTCAGAAACACTGGTTTTAACACATTAAAGGAAAAGTAAACACAGATAAAAGTGTACATTTGTCATTTTTAGGATAATTTTTAAGCAGTTACCTGTCAGCCCCCAAAATCTGAGATTTGTGGGGGTTTTGGGACAACAGGAAGCTTTGATTAATTATTCAGGGAGTAAATAATTTCTGTGCTGCAAATCCAATTAAGAATAATTTGTAGAAAGTCCCAAAAATGTTTCAGCGTTTTGCAGATTACCTCTAATGAATCAAATCAGGATCCTGGTCCGTGTCAGGAGGGCAGAGACAGACTTTATTTCCATGACAAACACCAAAAAAATCTGCCGTTAAATTCAAAGTAATCCTCGGGGAGTCTCAAGATGGCAACAACAAATCCTTCTCTTCCCTGGAAAAGAATATTGACTCCTTTTGGCGATGTTTGGATAAAAATGCCAAGTTTAATATATTCTGACTAACTCTTCCTACCCTGACCTCATCAAGAGAGAGAGTGTGTGTGTGTGTGTGTGTGTTATCTGAACCACGACTTAATCACTCAGCAGCAGAGGTTTTCTCTCTGCTCTGCAGAAGCTAAATGAGAACATCAAATGTTTATGAAAAAGAGATTTATTCCTAAATAATAACTGACTGCAGCTGAAAGCACACACAACCTCATTCACATCACTGCTTCAGACTGAAATGATGAATGTGCAGAGAGATAAACATAAAGGACTCATAATAAAAACTACAAACACATCAGAAACCACCAAGTTAGTTTGTGTGTTCACTCAAGGACAAGGAGCAGAAAATAAATAAGCACTTTATTCCATCAAGTAGAAAAACTTACTGTAGTCTTGTAATTTCAAGATAAAATAACTAAGATCAGCACAATAAATAACTGTAAATGTTATGTGCACTTAAATATGTTAACATTCTCGACTCGCCACCAGGTCAACTTAGACCGCAGTTACAAAAAATGAAAAATTTTCTATTTAAATAGAAGATGTGAATATATGTTTTCCAAACTGTATCTTATTACGAAGTATTTTAACAATAAAGTTGTATAAATAAGAACTTGTGATCAAAAGATCTGAGATAATTTTTTCGTCCACAATAACATGTATGGTATCAGTGGAAGCTAGAAATTCTGAGCTGTCCAATAACCCTAAATGCACGACCATAAGTATTTCACAGTGAGAGCAACTTCCTGGTAAAACCAGCGTTCAGACTTCACATTTTACATTGAGATGCAATTAAATTGGCAAAGAAAATTAAGATTTGGTGTTTTAAAAAGCAGGAATGTCAGTAAACTAGTGATTTATAAAATAATGAATTTGAGTGATGACAGTTGATGAATCTGCAACCTGCAGCCGAGTGCTGGCCAGCCGTTACAGGCTGAGAGTGTTTATTAATCACCACATCCTCTGATTTATATCCACATTTATACTGCTGCACCTACATCAACCAAAGTCAGGGTTCATTTTCCAGGAGTTGTTCTCGACCGCAGCACAAGCTGTGGCACTGACACAGTTTAACTCCTCCTGTTCATGGTCGGTTCATGATGAAGTGTCTCAGGTTTGTTAGGCAGGCAGGCAGTCAGTGTGAGCTCACTTTTGTGCTACGCTTGGCTGTTCTCACCACAACCGATATTTCTACAGCAGTCTCTGACAAATGGACTACAGTTTATAACAGTTTCCCTCTAACCGTAACATTAATTTGGACACAGCCCATAAGAGTTCAAGTCAAGTATAATTCATCTTATTTTACATAAAATTCGTCTAGTGAGCTGTTAAAATACAATTAAAGCACATTTGGTCAGCTCTCAGCCTTCCAAACAAACTCAGATCCATTAGTTAATTAGTTAACGATCTCAGACCCTCTGAAACGAACCATACTCAGACCTCCTGGGGAGGAGGTCATTGAGATATTATTGAGTTTATATAGTGACTCTGCTGATGTAAACTTTACTGTTGCTGCTCCAGAAACAATATTTAGTTGTTGCTTATCTATAATGCTAGTTTAATGTGAAATACTACAACATGTGCAGGGTTTTAAATAACT